GAGGCGCCACAGACTGGCGGCGGTCTGCCGGCCGGGCAGCGGCGCTTTCCCGTTGCTGCTCTCAGGGGTCGCCCCACCCCTGAAGGAGGCAACCTGAGCACCCCCAGTGGTGCAGCAGCACGGGCAGGGGGAGGGGTGATAGCAGGGATTCTGGAGTCCCCCTGCTTGGGTTCAGATTCCAGATTGCGACCTTCTTGTCTGTCTTGCCGTTTTATTTGGAAAAAAAATGCAGGCAGTGATGGTGCTTACCTCATAGGGTTGTTAGAAGGACTTAATGAATTAACATATATAAAGCATTTTCGGTGGTATATGTGTTAGCTGTTGATCACCTCCAGTTTACTGTTATCCACACTGCAGCAGAAGTGACCTGGTTAAAACCGTGTCTGTGCCTAAACCCTTTCAGAACTGTGTTGCGCTAACAAGATAAAATTTGGTACCCCAGGTGATCTGGACCCTCTTCCGCTCTCGCCTCTGTCCTGGAACTCAAACTTCCATGTATCCCAGCAAAGGGCTCTTGTGCCCGTGGTGTAGAAAGCCGAATTCTGATGGTGGGTTTGCAGCAAAGTAGATTTATTGCAGAGCACCAAGCAAGGGCATGGAAGACAAGTCTCAGCTCCACCCCAGCTTGGTCTTTGAGTTAGGGTTTTCTTTTGTTTTTTTAAGGGGAAAAACAAAGAAGCTGGGGTTATCTTGTAACATTTCTTAATTGCAGTTTTGGGAATCGGGATATTTCTGGTTTACATACGACTCTCTGGCCAGGCTCAGGGATATGTTAGCTCATCTTACTCTAGAGAAACAACCTGAGTTTGTGTGTTGAGGATATCTATAATAGCAATTTTAGTACATTAACGATGTTATAAACAACAGCAGTTTTAGTCATCTGACTCTGATTGATTGATTAGTGTTCAGTTAGCACAGGATTGAGGTCAGAGAGGACAAGACAGGGAATAACGTTTTGGTTAGAGAGACTAATTATAAACCCTGTAAGGGAACAGGGTTTTACAGGGACTTGGTCTCACATTTTTCACTTAGTCAGCACTTGTCTCCCCCTGGCACAGGACCTTTGCATATGCTGTCACTTCTGCCTTCCACTCCTTATCTTTCTCCCTGTTGCCTGGCTACCTCTTGGACCTCGTTAAGTGCTTCCTCCAGGAAGCCTTCCCTGATGTCCCAACCAGGGCTGATGACTCACTCAATTGCTCTGGTACTAGCAGAAGCTTTACCCTCACATTCACACTGAAATGGTGTGAAGGGTCTCCATCCAGCAGGAAGTGGCCACATCTTGAATTTGGTTTTCATAAAGAGCAGCCAGACAACCCAACTCACCATCACTGCACACCTACTATACATTAAGGCCAGTAAGACCCAGCCTCTCCTTAAGGAGAAAGGGTTAGTGAAAGGGGATGAGTAAGCCACCTACCACACCTTCACACCAGGGACGGTGATCCAGAGCAGTGACAGGCACTGGGTTTAGTGTCGTCAGGACCAAGTACCCGTGGAATATCTCTACTTGGCTGTTTCATGGGCACTAGTGTCATCCAAGTAGGACACCTCCCAGTTGCCCAAGCCAGAGACCTGGGGGTCCTCCTACATACACCCTCCTTCCTGACCCTGCAGGTCAGGCACTGGGTTCCTGACTGCCATGCTGGGTAGAATGCTGTCCTGTCTCCCCTACACCATGGCAGACAGACTCCTGCCGGCTTCCCTGTCCCCACTCTTGCCCTTCCAGTCTGTCCTCCCCCCTTGGCCACAGCGGCTTTTCTAAAACGCAAATTTGGTTCCACTCTGACTAAAACCCTTCAGTGAATACCTACTGCCCTGAAAATAAAAGTTCAAACTCTTTAACAAGGTGTACAGAGCCGTAACAACTTGCTCCTTAATTTTAAGCTCATTTCCTGTGGGTCTCCCTGCACCCTCCCCTAATCCACAAATCCGTCAGGTGACTGTAAACACCAGCTACTCCCATCCTCAGACCCCTCTAGCTCTTTACATGGGTGGGAATTCATTCAAAGGACTGAATTCCAAGCTTTAATCAGGCTTCTAATGGGACACCGATGTGTCCCTCCTGGGTGTGGGCACCACCCAAGGAGCCTGGGATCCTCCACTGCACAGAAGTGCTGTGTGCGGTGCGCCGTTCTAGGAGGAGGCAGCAGAGTGACGTGGCTGAGCGCCTAGGGCTTTGGAATCTGCCCAAGCAAAACTCAACCCCAGGTTCTGCTATTGGCTGTGCCACCTGGGGCAGATTATTTTGAATCTCAGTCCCTTTATCTGTGACGCCCCTTCATATCCTTCTCCTGCTTGTGGTCCAGCCAGCAGGCAGGTAGGGTGTAGGGCTGCAGGGTCCCAGCCGCGCCCAGTTTTATAGCAAATAACAGCACTACAAACAGTTCTAAGAGATAGGTTCAAACTCGGATGAGTGGTGGCACATTTTAAGAATCCAGCCATTAAGAATGTAGCTATTTAGTGGGGAGGGTATAGTTCCAAGTGGTAGAGTGCATGCTTAGGTGAATGAGGTCTTGGGTTCAATCCCCAGTACCTCTTCCAAATTTAAATAAATAAATAAACCTAATTACCTTCCCCTCATCAAACAAAGAAAAAATAATATAGCTATTTAGTGGGTCCAAGATGAAGGCTGTAACAAAAAAGATCCCTCTGGAAGCTTTTCTGAAAGAGCAGATACACCTGTGCCCACCACACCCGACCTGGCATGGCCCTCCTCACCTTCCTGCGCCCCTGGACGGTTTCCTCTGATGGAAGGTGAGAGAAGCCACTCTAGATTAGTTGTGATTTTGTTAGTTGAGTCCTTGGGTTTGCAGGGGACAACCACCAACTCTCCACCCCTTTCCTGGTGCCCTTCCGGCTGGCCTTGGCCCACTGCCCACACGTGGAGAAGGGCAGAGCCCCCCCAAACTCTGACCCAGGGCAGCAGCCCCTCCCATTCCAGGGTGCTGTCTCCTCCCAGGCAGCGGTCTGGCGCTGCCATCATCTTCATTCCCACCCGGATGTGGTTTTGTGACAAGCGAACAGCACAGAGAGAAGCCTTCTGTCCTTCCCCATACCCCACCATCACCCACAGCCCCCTCTCCTGCCTCTGGGGAGCGTATTCCAAGAAGCCATGAGGCCAGTGTCTGTGTGAGCTAGTCTGTTGCTCCACCAGCCAGGAACGAGGCGGGGACTTTGTGGGAGCTGGCCTGATAACAGGCAGGGCTGGCTGGCTGAGGCCCAAGAGCGCAGCAGACTGGGAGGTAACAGCTGGCCGGGCCCAGAGCCCTCTCTGCCCCTGCATGGCTGCCCACCCCCTTGGCCAGGAGGCTGGAAGGCCCTTTCAAATGGGTGGCCTGACTCTTCTGTCCCCATTAGGGAGAAGACCCCGTGCTCTCTCTGCTGGCCTCTCAGGCAGGAAGGGTGGGAGATTCCTTGTGGAAAGGGGTTCCAGAAGACCCCCTGCCTCAGAAGAGGCCCAGGGGAAAAGATCCCCGAACCACCCACAGACTGAGGAACTGAGGGGCCCACAGAGCCCGTCAGACCCCGGGACCGTAGCTGGGAGCGTGCGGGGCAGGAGAACCAGAGCTGGGGCTGACAGTGTCGTGGGGCTGGGATGCCCTCAGTATCACGTCTCCCCAGAAGCTGCTGCCCCTGGAGTCCGAGAGGCACAGGGCCTTACCCACGGGGTGGAGCGCTCAGGAAGAAGGCGCCTGCACCCCATCCACAGGGAGAGCTGTAATCAGGCCCCGGGCATCGCAAGCTTTCCTGGGGATCCCTCCTCAGGGCTGGCAGCCAGTGGGCGGTGGGAGAGTTCCAGGGTCCGAGGCCTCTGCTGAGGCGGCGGTGGGCCCTTCAGGCTGAATGGGATGCCATGTTGTCGGAGGCTTTCTTCAGGGTCTCCAGGAAGAACTGTTCATTCTCCAAGAAGTCATGGTCCTGAAAGGCAGAGCTACTGAGCAGTCGCCCTCTGGCTGCTTCCTGTACCCGCTTCTGTGGACAGGGGCACTGGGTTGTGGCATTGTGGGTGAGGGGGTCCCTGGGTGCTAGGCGAGCAGCCCTCTCTCTGGGAGCCCCCCTCCCCTCCGCTTATGTCCCAGTTCTGTCTGGCTCTGGGAATCGGGTGGGGCAGGGCAGGAGCACGTGCAGTGTAGGGAGACACCAGCTCTCACTCCTGGTGGGACCACTTGTTAGTACGTGACTCATCCCTCTAAGCCTGTCTGGAAACTGCAGAAAATAACATTACCTGCCTTGGAGTGCTGTGGGAGGGCAAGCGCTTACAAGGTACATAAACTTACAGCACAGAGCCTGGCACATAGGACATGCTCCCTAAGTGACACAGAGGACAGGCCTCAGAGATGCTCTATTCCCCTCCAGGGGGTGGGCTCCCTCCTGCCTCCGCGAGAGCTGCCTGTCACCAGTGTGAACACCAGGAGCCCTGAGTCTCCAGGGGTGGGTGGGCCGGGGCAAGGGCGGCCTATGTGCTGAGAGGCTCACCTGCGCAGCTGTGTGTTTCAGTAGCACCAGCTTGGCGTGGAGGTGTGAGGGGCCCAGGCCAGCCAGAGGCTGGCTGCACCGAGGCGTGGTGGGAGCAGGAGCCACGACAGCTGAAAAGGCCGAGGAGGAAGTCAGGGACCAAAGTGTTAGTGGGAGACCAAGATGGCCACAGCCTGTTCCCCGGGGCCTTCTCATCACTGCAGGCGGGTGCAGCCAGGCCAATCTTGCTGGCACATCCAACTCTAAAAAGCCTTTGAAAATGCTCATGGGATCTCACCTGGTAAGTTCAATTCTAGGGATTTATTCAAAGGACATAATTGGGCAAAGGTGCAGAGATGTATGTACAAAGATTTCCACTGAGGTGCTGTTTATCTTAGTGACAAAAAAAATCCCTCAGTAGGAAACCAGTAAAAATATGGAACAACCTCATAATGGAAAATTATGCTGATTAAGAATTAAGTTAAATCTTTAATTACTGACATGAAAATATGGTCCATCTGTATATTCCTGAATGAAAAAAAAATCAAGTTATGAAACAACATATGACGCAATCCCAATTTTGTTTTAAAAAATATATACAGAACAGTCTAGAATGTTATGCACCAAAATGTTTAAAGTGGTTATCTCTTGAGAGTGGAGTTGAGGGTAATATTTTATTATTTTTGTCTTATTTTTATTTTATTTTATTTTCCCCCAAGAATCCATTGTGTCTTAAGCCCCCAGCATATGCCCAGCACTGTGCCAGGAGGCAAGGAAGGCACATAGCAAGGGCAAGTCAAGTCTAGGAGCTTGAGGGTAATATTTAAAAAAATAGTTTTCCTTCTTCTATTTATGACTTATTTTTCTATAATTAACATGCACCACTTATGTAGGAAAAGAAGTAACTAAGATGACTTTAAAACCCAGCCGGCCCCTAACTTGAGCAGGCCAGGAGCATGGGCTGGATGTTCCAGGCACTGCCTGGTCCAGTGGGCCAGCTGATCCGATGGTCTGTCCTTCCAGAGCCACTTACCACTTAGGCCAGAGGGTGCCAGGCCCTGGGCCCTGGAGAGCAGCGCCACAGGGCCAGAGAGCAGGTCCTGTCGGACATGATCCAGCTGCAGCCGCTGCTGGGCCAGGCTCAGATGCTCCTGTCCCCGTCCCCACAGAGAGAACACGGCTGTGAGAACAGCGGCCAAGGAAGAGGGGCTGCCAGGGTGGGGTGGGGGCGGGGAGGAGCCTTGCCTGATTCATGTGCTGCTCTTGCTGCCGGAGCCGCTCCTGCTGCTGCTGCACCAGCTGCAGCCGGGCCTGCTGCTCTGACTGCACCTGCCGGGCCTCACGCAGTGCCCGCTGCCCCTCCTCGTACTTCTCTGAGGCCACCTGCGGGGAGGCCTCCTGGGTCAGCTGGGCTGGCTGGGGTCAGCGCACTGCCCGCACCCCAGCCACGCCTGGGAGCTGCGCTGCTGGGTACCTGGCTCATGCTCTCCACCTCCTCAGCGCGCAGCCTGATGCGCTGGGCGGCGGCACTGACCCTCTCCTTCTCCAGCCGCAGCTCCTGCCGCTCCCGCTCCAGAGCCTCCCTCTCGGCCACCAGCTGATCCTCCTTGGCCCGGAGCTCACTTGCCCTGATCTTCAGCTCTGCCTGCTCCTGGAGATGGTAAAGCCTTGCTCCCTTCTCCTCCCAAGAGTTGAACTGGGCTTTGCTCAGGGTTCCGAGGACCAGCCCCAGCCTCCTGCCTCATTGCTGTGGCTCTGCTCCACCCTGACCCTGGGAGGAGGTGGGGTCTGATGATGGGCAGAGAGACCGGGGGCCAAGCCTCTGTGTAGCCCCTTTGCCCTGGGCTCAACTTCTCTGAACCCCAGTTGCCTCATTTCTAGAATATCTAAGTCATGGAAACGTGATGAGGATTAAATGAGACAATGTGCACAGAGCACCTAGGATGATAAGAGGAAGCTGACTATGATGCGATGACTATTGTTTTAATCTCTTGTTTTCACTACGCTCTTTGCTAAGCTGATGCTCCTGATGGGAGGAGCAGACAGTGGGGGCAGGGAGAAGGGGCAGGGCTGCCCAGGAGGCTCTGGGCCCTACCTTGGCCAGGCTGATGAGGGTGCCCTCCCGCTGGGTGTCCACCTTCAGCGCCCGCTCTGCCTCTCGCTCTGCCCGCTCCTTACTCAACTTCTGCTGTGCAAAGAACTCGGCCCACTCGGCCGCCAGGCGCCGCCGCTCCTCCCCACACTTGTGCATGACGGACTGCTGCTCCTCCAGCAAGGCACTCTGGGACCAGGGCGCAAGGGCACAGAGTGAGCATCCTTGGGCGTAATGGCAGGGAGGCAGCTGAACACGGTGCGCCTGGATTCACCTTGGCTCTCTCCAGCTCCTCCCGCTCCATGGTGATCTGCTGGACCATGACCTTCCTCTGCTCCTCTAGAGTGCGCTGCGCGGACTCTGCCTTGGCTTGCTCCGCACTCACCCGCCAGCGTTCCTGTGGGCCAAGTCAGAGATGAGAGCTCTTGCCCCTTCCATGCTCTGCCTGCCCCCAGTCAGGCCTGAATGTTCCCTGGGGAGCTGTGCAAACTGCCCCCATCCCGGCTTCCCCCAGAGCATACCACAGACACCTCCTTTCCTGAGTGGTGCAGACCAGGGCCCAGCTGCTGGGATTAACTGTGCGACTAACAGCTCAGGAACCACTGCTGGAGAAGCCTCAGGTGGCTCCGAAGGTCCGAAGAACAGCAATACCTCTGTTCCCTGAATCACCAACTATGGCATTGCCTTCCTGTCTCCTGTTATCCAACAGGTAAAAGCACCAGCCAGGGTGGGCCTGACACCATATGCCAGGGGATGCGGGGCACACACAAGCCTGGCCCAAGGCGGGCGCTTAGTAAAGCACCAAATGAAGGGCTGAATAAATATGGTTCACAATATAAAAAAACATGATTAAAAAAAAAAACAGGATATATGTCTACATATTGATAGGTCTGCAGGATACATGCCATGCCATCAGTGGCACCCTGGCTGAATTCATCAAATATTTATTGGACCAATTCTATCAGGAATTGCTTTTTTGTTCAGCACAAAGTAGAGGTCAGTTGGAGTACAATTGTTTTAGCACACTTATTAAATAGTGAACACTTCACAGATTCGCATGTCACCCTTGCGCAGGGCCATGCTAATCTCTGTATCGTTCCAATTTTAATATACGTGCTGCTGAAGCAAGCATGAACAAGCTTTTGTTTTTAATTGAAATAAGTTGATTTGCAGTATGGTGTTAATTTCAGGTGTACAGCAAAGTGATTTGGTTATATATATATATATTTCTTTAGATTATTTTCCATTATAGGTTATTGCAAGATATTGAATACAGTTCCCTGTGCTCTACAGTGAATGCTTGCTATTTATCTATTTCACATATGGTAGGGTATATCTGTTAATCCCATACTCCTAATTTATCCCCTCCTGCCCCTGCTGTCTCCTTTAGTAACCATAAGTTTGTTTTATTTGTGAGTCTATGGCTGTTTAATAAATAAGTTTATTTGTGCTATTTTGTTAGATTCCACATATAAGTGATACATTTGTCTTTCTTCGTCTGACTTGACTTAGTTGGATAATCTAGGTGAAAGGCATTATTTTTTAAAGAATAAAGCTTGTTCTTATATATGGAAGATATGTAGGGAATTTAAAAATGTTATCTGTTACAGCTCAGAAGACAGGAGTATTTCTCCCAATGTCGTAGGCAGCAGCTGATGTGAAGGATTTGAGTGGGGGGCAGGAGAGAGGGAGGTGCAGCGGGTAGGCAGGGAGGGGCTGGACAGGGCAGACCCAGGGCACCTCTGGACGTGGGGAGGTGGGAGCCCTGGTAGAGGTCAGACGGAGCAGGGGAGACACCCCAGAGGAAGTCCTAGGGCCGAGAAGGTGAGGTCAGAGCGCAGCTGCCCTTGCCTGGGGGAGACAGGCCCTGGGCAGGAGGACGGAGCCCACCTGCTCCAGCAGCCGGCTCTGCTCACTCAGGCGCGCCTCCATCTTCCCGATGACCTCCTGGAGCCGGTTTCGCTCTTCCTCCATGTCCCGCTGCTGCCGGCCCAGCCTTTCCTGCAGCACTGGGGGCGGCCCACGGGGTACTCAGTGCCCGCCCACCTTCCCACGGGGAGTCGGGGGAGGGGGGGAGCGGAGGGAGGGACACGTAGATCCTGCAGTACCTCGGAGCTGCTCGTCCCGCTGCCGGATCCCCAGCTCCCACTCCTGGGTGGTGCTGAGGTGTGAGGCCTCCACGCGGGAGGACAGCTCGTGCAGGCTGCTGGAGAACTTCTCCATCTGCTCAATGATGCCATTCAGGGACCTGGGGAAGGCTCGGGTCACGCGGGCCTGGGGACCCCAGCACCGCCCCTTGGGGTGAAGGGGGCGAGGAGGGCACGCCTACCGCGTGTGGGAGGTGGCACTGGTGACGGCGTCAATCTCCCGGTCCTTTAGCAGTTTCAGCCGCTGCAGCTGCTCCTCATGGTCCTTGCGCATCTCCAGGATGGAGGCCCTGAGGGGACGGTGGGGAGGTGGTGTAGAGAATACCACGGGCAGCTCTGCGTGGCAGGGGCGTGCCTCTGGGTGGTCAGTGTTCCATGGACCTCTCCTCCCTCTCCTCTGGGCACTGCCTCAGTTTCCCTGGCTCCTCTGCCTTATCTGTCTCGGTGCCTCAATGCCCAATCCACACCCTGGGGGAGAGTCCTTGTTGTTCAGCAAAGGACACTTGACATGGAGGAAAGGCCAGGTGTGCCAACAACCCTTAATTGTCTGGCTAACCTGAGTAGGGTGAAAAGGCCCACGCTGCCCCCATATAGAAGGGCAAGCAGATCAACATGCCAGGCACAGCAGTGCAAACCTTTTCCAGGGCCGATCTAGTCACTGGACTTAAGAAGTCTGGCTGGCGAGTGGATTAACCTGTGCTGAGTTAGCACGTGGGTTGCCTGCTGCTGCCAGGCCCTTCCCGAGCACCCAATGACCCCTTGGGCCCTGCGAGTCCGCCCTCCCCACCTCTGTAGGAGTGGTGGGTCCCTACTCAGGAGGGGCGATGCGTCAGTGAGGTCAAGCTTTGGTTCAAAGGCTGCTGAGCCACAGCTTGGTGTCTCATGGCCATCAGCTTCCTCTGGCCACCCTTGAAGCCAGCTCCCCCTGCCCTCCCATCCCTGGGCCTTGCCTGCCCTCACCGCTGCAGTTCCCGGAGCCGCTCCATCTCCTGGTCCTTCTCCTGCGTGGCAGCAGCTAAGCGCCGCTGGTGCTGGGCAGTGAGCTCGGCGCGGGCCTGCTCGGCTTCCTGGCAGCGCGACAGGTACTGGGTGGACAGCTCCTCGTTCTCTCTCCGCAGCCTCTCTTCCCGTTGCTGGTATGATGCTTCTAGCACTTTGACACGGCTTCTGCCAACAGAACACCCAATCATGGGCCTCAGAAGGTGAGGGCAGACACCCGAAGGGCTTCTCCCAGCGCATCTGCCGGGGACGGCTGCGAGCCCAGGCAGGAAGAGCAGGGGTACCTGTGAGCACTCTCGATGAGCTCCAGGTCGGCCTGGTGCCGCTGCTGCAAACTCTCCAGCAGCAGCTTGTGCTGGGCCCGCTCCAGCTCCAGCTTCCGCACCTGGGAGATGCAGGAGGGGCAGCGTGGAGGGAGGGAGGGGAGGTGGGATCTCTCAGACCACCTGGGGAAGCCACCCACCCTCACAGTGACACTGTCCCATGGCAATGCTGGTTCCCTGCCCAAACCCCAAGCCAGCTGCCCCTCTGCCCCTCACCTGGGCCTCCAGCTCTGCCAGCCGGGCCTGATTCTGCAGAAGGTCAGCCTGGAGCTCGGCGGTGCCGCCCTGAAGCTGTGCCTGTGCAGCCAGGAGCTGCATCTGGTATTGTGTGCCTGGCAGCAGGCTCTGGGCCAGGGACTCCGGGAGCAGGGACTGGAGGAGATGGGAAGGGATGTTCTTGCTCAGGAATGGGACGGGGACTCAGCTGAGCTCACCTACCTCTGGCCCTCACTCCTCTGGACCTCTTGGGCCTGTGCCTGATCTGTAGCTGTAGATGGGGACAAGGATGTGACACCAAGAGGCCAAGGATGAGGCCTTGGAATAGTCATAGGGTCACTGCCCTTCCCTCTCAGGTCTGGTTAGGGAAAATGAGTCTCCCTTCCTTCCTCAGAACAACTTCCTTCCCAGCAGGGATCCTAGATTCCTGGATGAACACTGGGGCCCCAGCTATGACAAGAGGTTGTGACACTGGCCCTTTCCGTCAGGCCTGAGTCCAAATGTTGAGAGCTGCCCTGCTTCCTGCAGACCGGCCTCCATCTACCACCTCAGAGGCACGTCTGGGTTCCCAGTGAGCTGCTCCTGTGGGGCTAGGCCTCCCCAGGCCCGGGGGCCTGCCACCCTGGGAGACAGAGGGAGTACAGTGGGAGGATGGCAAGGATGGAGACAGCTTTCTAGATGGAACATCAGGACGCCTGCAGCCCTGCTTTCTGACTGGCACATTTCTGGCTGCCCCCGCCTGGGTGCCACCTCCATTCCCTCCTGGTGCTGGCACATCAGCACCTGACTCCACCTGGGAGTGCAAGGAAGCGCTGGAGAGGAGGCCGGGCTGCTGGCTGAGAGAAGGGCACATTCCTCCTGGCCTTGGTCAGGTTTGGCGGGTGTTGCTTCTGAGCACACAAGAATTGCCCCACGGGCTGAAACCTACCCTTGTTTGTTCCCCTCCCTACCTGGACAGGCACAGAAAGCTCTGGGGGTTCCTGGGAGTTCAGGAAACAAATCGCAGGCTCTGAAAGATCAACGGCACAGAGATGAGTAGGAAGTGCAGAAATGCGGTCTGTGTGTGCGCTCAGGAGTGCCCAGCTTCACTCGCCTTCTGGGGGCCCTGAAGGCAAGCTGTTAGTGCTTCTCCTTTACCCCAAGTTAAACCCGCCAAACAAAGCGGAACACGAACCGGTGCCGGAGTGGTCTCCAGGGGCTGTTCCCCTCTTTGAGTCACCTGCATGGAGGGCCAAGGTGGCCTGGTTCCTAGTTACACGGGACCTGAGGACACAGGGATGGAGGTGGCAAGGTCAACAGCCTCCTGTACAGGACACAGGGAAAAGGGGAGGGTGGCAGGGCAGGAAAGGAAAACACCAGGTTTGAGTCACTGCCTGGAAAGGCCTGGAGGTGATCACTTCACTAAGAGTGGGGTCTCAGTTGGGAAGAGGAGACGGGGACCCAGCTTCAGGTCCCTTACTCAGTGGGCCTGACACCACACAGCACACTGACCATGTCAGAGCCCTGCACAGCCACCACCTGTTGTTGTGGGGAAAAGGGCCCAAGCTGCCCTGCCACGCCCCACCCACCCTCAGCCCCGCGGCGACATACCCTGAGGTGGCAGTCCTGGCAGGCGGCTTTGGTGCTCCCGTTTCTGAGGGCCCTGCGGCAGCCGCTGGCTTGAGCCCTTGCGGGCTGGCAGCAGGCAGGCTGAGAAAGGAAACGTGAGCGTGAAGGTGGCAGGAGGTCCAGGTCTGGCCAGACAAAGCCCACGTGTGCAGCCTTGTGGCCAAGACTCTCCGCGCCTCCCTCAGCCTTTCTCCTGTTCCCACCAGCCCGTCTTGGAAATTCTCCCAAGTCTGAGCCCCTGGTGTTCAGTAACCTGTCCTCGCCCCAGTGCTCACTGGGGCGACCATCTGAAGACAGTCTGAGGAGCGACAGTGGACCTGTCCTGGGCACCAATGCTGGGCCATGCTCTGGTCCCCGCAGCTTCGCTTGGCTTTAGGCTGCAGCTCGGCTCACTCTCCCGCTGTGCCCGGAGCCCGACCAGCTCCTCCCTTCTCCCTCTGTGGCTACCCCTTCCTCTGGGCTCTCGGGGTCAGCAGCGAGGAAGCTTTCCCGTTGGTTTCAGGTTCAGGTCAAAACCGCCCTCCTCATTCACAGCAACCCCAGGGGTGGGTGACGTTTCTGGCCCGTCACACAACTGTCCACCTCACCTCCCCTTTGCTCTGGCTGCACAGCATCCTGAGGTTTCCTCTGGACAGTCCCGGCCTTACCAGGCCCCTGTCCTGCCCCCAATTCTGTGGCCTCCCCCAGGAGTCGCCTCTCAGCCATTGTTTCCTCTAACACCCCGGAAGAGCACAAGTGAATCCCAGCTGATGAGTCACCTGCTTCAGCTCAGGCCAGCAGACCAATCGGACACTGGTATTCTGTCAGCCCGGGGGTGCTGTGGGCAGAGCCCCTGCTCAGAGGCACCGGGATGGCTGTGTATTTGCCATAAGGGTACCTGGGTCTCCTGCCTGATCAGGTCGGCACCTATCCCCACAGCAGTCAGGGCATGAGTGTTGACAGCCCCCAGCTCCCTTATGTTTTCACCCGGGCAAAGGCGGGGAGCCAGATGCTCACCCCAGCCCCCAAGAGAGGGGAAGCACTGGTAGGAGGCGGCACTGTGCCCCACAGTGCACTGTGGGTGCTCCCGATGGAGGCACTAAGATGGCAAGGCCCTCCCTCCACCAGAGACGGCAGCCCGAGCCCCTACCTGCCAGAAGGTGGCTGGCCCACTGCCCCCACGGAGTTCTGGCCCTTAGGGGCCGCAGTGCGCTCCTCTCTGGCCAGACCTTGGGACTTCTTCCGAGACAGGGCATGGCTCAGCCAGTCCTCCTCCTCCTTTTCCTCAGATGGTCCTGGCTGGGAAGCCTGACTGGCTTTGGCAGGGGAACCTGCACCCTCGGTTGGTGGCTTTGCCCCCGAGAAGGAAGGCAGCCTGGCCGGGCCTGAGTGGCAGCCTGGGGCAGAAAGCTGACTCACAGGAGGGGGTCCCCTCTGAGCCTCCCTGGTTGGGGAGGGAGGGAGTAGGTCTGAGATGTCGTCCTTGAGGCCCAGCCAATCGGCGCCTCCCCTCCTGGGCTGGATGGGGCTGGACGCCGCTGGGCTGCTCTGTCTAGAGCCCGGTTCTCCCTTGGGGTCTGTGCCGCCTTCTAAGAACCTACTTCAAGACAGAGAAGAGGGAGTCTAAGGTAGGGCAAGCAGCCTGTCCCAGCCTTTCCCTCTGCTGCTGGGAGTGGGTGACAATGGGGCCCACACTAAGGAGTCGTGATGCCCAGCGGCCCTGCGCAGCCAGAGCCACAGTGGGTGAGTGCTATCTGTAGAACACTGTGAAACAGACATTGTGGATTCTGCCACGTGAACCAGGGACAACTCCATTCGCAGCAAATGGGACCAAAGTACAACCATGGGCCCACATGTCCAGAGAAAAATCTGTTGGATCAGGTGGTTTTAGGTTTTCCATCAACAGTCATTCCACGATCTGGCCATTGCCTCTATGTGCTACTACTGGCCATGTGCAGCAAGTTCCAAGGTTTAAGAATATACTGTGATTGGGGAAAAAAGTTGACGTGTACACAGGGTTATTCAGATAGAAAGAGAGGCTGATGAAGCTACTGCGAAGTAATGTTAACCCTGCTGAGCCTGGGTGAAGGGGGAGCGAGTTCTTTGTACCCTTCTCACAACTCTTCTGCCAATTCGAAATTATTTCAAAATACAAAACTTAAAATACTTACTGGGAGAAAATACCTCAAACTCAGAAAATTCTATCTGTTAACATTCCGTTGCAAACTGGGCCAAGACTGCCGTCAGGAGGTCACGGCAGATCCCAGGGCAGTGTGCCCTGGAGCAGTTTGAGGAGCCGCTGCCCAAGGTTCACAGTCACAGTCTTCTTCCCCCACAGCGGGCAGATGTGCCTCAGGGAGAAGTCTAAGGCTTTCAGGGGCTTCTGGTGGGGTTGGGTTCCCTGTCTCCTTTTCCTTCTGAGGACCCTGGGAGCAGAACCTGGGGCTGGCTCCTGCTGGGGGCCGTCTTGACCACTGGGCCTGGACTGGTGGGCACTGGGCAACCCCCTCCTCCTGTAGCACCCGCAGAGCCTCATGCCCCGCAAACAAGACTGGCAGTGGGATGGGGCGGGGCCGGGTCCACGTTCCCAACAGGCAGCCAGTCTCCGAGGCCAAGCTCTTTGCAGGCCCTGCTTACCTGACCGACTGCCGGCGGGACTGCCGGCCCTCGGGGCCCACGGTGGGCTGATAGGCTCTGAAGGTGAAGTCCTCGTCATCCCAGGTGTCTTCTTTGTCTGTGAATTAAGGCACCTGTGATCTAGAGCAGGGGGCGTCAACCTTTCTTTTGCGGCTGTAGAATTCTTTGTTTAAAAAAGGCTGAACTGGCAGCTTGACAGGTTAAGACGAGTGGACCGGGAGGCTGCTGTGGGGGGAGCGGGGTGAGGGGCTGGGCGTCTGCCAACGCGCGATTCTCACCGAGGAGCTGTTAAAAGTGCACGGGGAGCCCTGCACCAGGCATCCTGCAGGTGAGGCCTGGTGAGCTGCCTGTGTCACAGGAATGATTCTCAACAGACGGCCAGTGGGCCGACGCTCTGAACAAAGAAACACTGGTCCAGGGCAGTGTTTTTCAAACTGAGCTGCTGCCTATTAGCAAGTTGAGAAACTAATGAGTTGTGACCAATATATTTATAAGTCAAACAGTGTATCAATAAAAAACAAGAGTACTGAGCAAGGTAATTATTATTTCCTGATGCTTCTGTCTCAGTTATAAACGGGAAGAATAATGTGTGTCATGATGTAAAGCTTATCTATTATGGATTGTTGTAAAAACCTGCTCTGGGGTTCCCTGCCCCACAGGCGTCCTCACCCTGTGGCCTCTGGTACTTCTTGTCCAGCTTGAACTCCCTGCGCTCCCCGCTGCCCGGGCAGACCAGGAGTTTGGCGGCAGTTCCCCGACCCAGCAGCTCATCCAGCTTGGAGCGAGCGGGGAGGGGTGCTGCCCTGCAGGATGGGACACGGGGCAGGGACCTGTGAGTACAAGGGCTCCTGGGGGGCCCACGCTGTGCCCACCCTCCAGCTTCTCCCTCTCCCTGGGCCTGAAGCAGCAGCCTGGCCAGGGACTCTCTGCTCATAAGGCCCCTTACTCTCCCGTTGGCCTCCTCTCTGCTCTGGGGTGGTCTCCAAACCCCAGGGTGGCTATGATGTCATCCTCATCGTCAAAGAGCAGCTCTTTCTTTCGGACTGGGGTGTCCCCAGGAGTTAGAGGCAGAGAGGGACCTAAGAGACAGAACACAGGGCATAAGGCCTGCAGCCTTCTTGCCCTTAGCTGTGATGTTTAAATTGGTTGAGGGGGGCGCTTCCCTGCAACCCTGACCTTTGCGTGGAACAGCAGGCATCACAGTGTCTGGTCTGCCTGCAGGACCTCACTTCCCCGGCCCCACGCCAGGGCTCACGCATCCCCCATCCCGTTCCTGGAGACTGGTAATCTCTTGGTCCAGGATCTCAGACCTGTAGTCTCTGCCTGGTGGGGTCTTTGGTTCTGCACCAGAAAGTTGGGCGAGTCAGCTGCCTCTGATTCAGGACAGGTAAGCCCACCCCCCTACCTTGATCTCTGACTGGGGCTGCGCTCTTTTCCAAAGCTGTTTTGCTCTCCATCCCTGGTGGCTTCTTGGCGATTCCTTCCTCGTCATCAGAGAGAAGTCCTGCCAACGGGTCTTCCAAGTCTCAAAGCCAGAAGGGAAAAGCAAAGGTAAGATGGCACACTTTGTTCAGGAAAACAAGCACCATGCTGGGTGTGTTCTCACTCAACCAGAGACTTCTAGCTGCTCTGATACATAAACTAGCTGCAAGGGTGTCTTGGGCGGGGGCCTGGGTTAGGGGGGCTCGGACACAGACCAGGCTCGGCCAGGAGACAGGAAGCGGGGAGAGCGGCCCTGAGCCTGCGGGGCCTGCGTTCCAGCGTGACTGGCCCAGGCTCTGCTGTCTGCCCGAGCCTTCTGGAAACATTCCCAAGGCATCAGAAGAGAAGTCAAACTTCCATGCATTCTCGAAGGGAAAGGAAACTCTCCCCACATGTTATAAAATCTTCAGTTTGACACCTGGTGTCAAAGTCCTTGTAAATAAGTGTCCCAAATATCCCAGCCAGGAGAACAAAACTGGTCCCTCCCTGAATTCATGAAGAGCAAAATCGGTGCACCGGCCGTCTGCTCCTCATCTGATTAACACAGTGACTTGGCCTCGGGCAAGCAGGTAAGCATTGCCCAGGCTACTCTACTCTCAGAACCAAAGTGTTCCAGAAGCACGACTGCAGGGCCTGTGGTACCTTCGAAGGAGAACTTCCTGTGATGCCCAAAGCTGGTGGGAGAGGGAGGTAGCTTCTTGGTGGGAATGGTGTCTCCTGCAGGGAGCCAAGAGAGGGCAAGGTCACAGGCCTGTGTCTCTCCTGGCCTATGTTCTGCCACACCATGACTGGGACCACTGGGATGGTGAGCACTTCTACCTGGGGGCGGCCATGGACGCAGCCCCGGGATGATCTACACCTCCCCAGTTGTCAGAGAGGCTTCTGGCAGAGAAATGTGGTCTGCAAGCTACCTCCTGCCCCCTAGTCACAAGTCACTCCAAATGGGGACATAGGCTTGGGAGATGCACAGGCTGCCATAACATTCTCCAATTTAACTCCAATGGCTTCTCCAGAGCCACCATGTTGGACTTAGCGGGACTGGAAGAGCCTTAGGCAGGGAGGAGGCTCAGCCTGCCTCCCTCTCCCACCACAAACATTCAAACACACATCTGTACTCATGGAGCTCCCGTCCTTTCATCTCCATCCCAGGGAGAGAAAACCCACCGGGAATGAGAGCTTCCGTCTAAGCATCTCCCACCTACCTTTCTCATTGGCCGTTAACATACCAGCAGGTTTAAGATTACTAGGCTGCTCTTCTTTCTCAGAACCCTTGGCAGACCTTTTGTCTGAGGCTGGATTAGACTTCTTCAGACCTAAGAAATCGGCATCCATTTCATCCAGATCCTAGAAAAGCAGGAAGGAGGGAGGAATCCCCACTGCTGCTCAGCTGGTAGCTGCTAAATGCGCTCACACTCGGAGCAGCCTCGTGAGGGTGCTGCCCCCAAATTCCACACAGAACGCATGAAGACTAGGGGCGGGGGGCTGACCCCAGCAGCGTTACAGAACAAGGACAGAGGCAGGGCCAAACCACAAAGGCCCCAGACAGTCAGTCTCCAGTAAGCCAAACGGTCTCAGACTGGTACCCCTACCAGCAGTTACTAGCAGCTGCTGCCCTGACGTGGGAATGACAGGGTGGCTGAAGCCTGCTCTCAGCAGCTTCGCACAAAGGCTTAGCAAATGATGAAGACATCTGCAGTAGAAACCAAACAGCAGGATCCTGGGCAGTGAGAGGGACCTGAGGCAAAAGATAACCCTTTGTCCAAAGTCTGGAAAAATTCTGACCTGGATTCTTAAGCCTGCCTGGGTCAGGGGAAGCAAACTGTGACCAGAGGCAGAGGCATGCTACTCTGTGTCAAGGTTCCACGGTGAGGACGTTAAAAACCACCACAACCAAGCCAGGAGAGGAAGGCAGTCGGGGACCCCATGGTCACCATGAGCCCTGAGTCCAGACTGGCTGCATGGTGATTTTAACAAGGAATGAGGACGGCGGCACAGTGGGTGGAGGATTCAGCTCGTGGTTCTGGATGAGAGGCTCAGGGTCACCACTGTCAACAGAGTCAGAGGACTTGAGGGTCATGCCCGGAGGTCCCAGCAGGCTGACCTTGGGCAAGAGCGATTTTGAGCCGAGCCAAGTTTAAGAAGTTGACTCTCGAGTCAAGAAGGAAATAGGTCTCAATTCTTGAGGGCCCTGCAGGGTTGAGAGCTCAGCCTTGGCTCCTGGCAACACAGGCTGACCAGGAGGGCCATGAGGTGGAGGTCAGGCAGGAGGGGGCTGCTGGACGGAGGGGGAGGGAGAGCAAAGGGCAACCTGAGGCCTTGGACCCCAGCCAGGCTGCCCGAGTATGGTGAAATCATGCTCTCATGAGCTGTTCAGAACTTACGTTTTAAAATTCCCTGCAAAGATTAGCTTGGGAGGAGGGCGGGTATGGCTCAGTGGCAGAGTGTCTGCTTAGCATGCCCAGCGTCCGGGGTTCAGTCCCCAGTACCTCCATCAAGAAATAAATAAACCTAATTACCTCCCTCACTAAATAAATAAATAAATGGGAAAAAAAAAGATTAGCTTGGGGCTTGATCTGATGAGAGGATGGCTGTACTGAAGGGGACTTGGCAGGGGGTGTGAGGAGAAACATGGAGAAAGGTTAAGAACAAGATTCAGGGGAGTCTTCCCCCATTCCTCAGCGGGAAGCCGCCGCCCCATTTCACCAGAGGCCTGTAATCTCCATAAACCAGGAAAACTGATATATGCCCAGAGGGACAGGGAGGGCAGCAGCTCATGGATGAAATCACTCTTGCACTAGGAAGGGCTCAGAAACGCAAACTGTAAAGAGGGAGAATGAAGGCGTGGTACATAGTACCATCACCCCACCTTCCCAGGTCCCCACATTGTGCCAGCTGTCTCCTTACCTTCATGGCCTGGAGCAGAGCCTGCGGGTCTGCATCTGAGATGTCTGAAACCTACAGCCACCCTCAGAGAGTAAGGACGAGTGTTAGTCAAGGCCCAACAAAGCTCAGGGCCCTGGCTGCCTTGCTCCCGTTAGGGCAGGAGCAGAGCTGGGCCAGCGGGGCATACGCTGCAGGGTCCCGCCCTTACTTGGGGCTTGGGTGTTGTTTGAAGTCAAACCTAGAAGTGGAGACCTAGAAAGCCTTCCTGTCCTTCCCAATAGGAAGCCCACATCCATCACAGGACTCAAATTAGGCTACTTCCTGTCCACATGACCAGACCAGCTGTGGCATTTACTATGGGAAGGGGCAACACCCAAGCCTCTAGCAGGTGCAAGGAGCCCAACTCCCTAGCTCATCTCACTGGGAGGAAGGAAAAGGATGTCACCTTGGGTCCACTGGGCAGCCCTCAGGTACTGTTCTGTTTAAGAACAAACTGGCCTCGCAGGGACTTCTAAACCTCCTGTGAGCAGCAGCCCCTTGGCCACAACCTCCTTCTCACTGTTTCTGGGGGTAAGAGGGTGAGTAGCAGAGAAGGGGCATGGCTCACCTCAGCATCAGCTCCTGCCAGGCCTGCCCTCGTGCTAAAGCCATTGTCTTCCAGGAGGGACCTGCGAAGGGGCAGAGTCAGCACCCACCCACAAACAGTCCCCAAGGCACTCGGTGATTCTAACAAAGGAGAAGTGGCTTAAAGAGTCCGAGTTGAACCCAGGTAGACTCTACTCACGGAGTACAGGGTTGCTAAAAGGAACCTCACAAACCACACAGTGCAATGATTTTTCACTTTTTTAAAGTAGGAGAGCCCCTTTAAAAACAGCAGATAAGAGAGAAAACCAGAAATGCTTGGAGTAAAAAGAAGGTGGAGGGCGGGGAGCTCACAAAGCTCAGAAGAGCAAACACAGTGTGAAAGGCACCAATCTCCTTTTTCTGAGGGTAGGAAAACTGAGGCTCAGAGAGGTTCAGGAGTTGCCCCGGTCACACAGTAAGCAACCAATGTAGGACTAGAAGCCGGAACCTTTGACTCCAGTTCAGTTGTTTTCTCCTCCAGGCTCCTTCACTGGCCAGGAGTTGAGCGGGGAGCAGGGAGGGGCTGACACTGTAAGATGCCCCGTGTGAGTGGGAAGGTCGGGGAGGGGCAGGGGCATTTGGAATGGAATGGGGCTTGGATGCCTAAGCCAGGCTCCTGCGCTCACTTTGTCCTCGCCCTCGAAGGAGGGAGGGCCTGAGCGACAGCTGAGGTGTCTCTGGCACGTGAAGTTAGTTTAACAGGCTTCTCAGGTGTTGCTGGAAAAAAGAAAACAGAAGATATCAATTGACCACGCAGAGCTGGAGTCAAGATGAAAAGGGCAGCAAGTTCCTCATCACGCTGTCTCCCAGATCTTCCTGCTGAAAGAAGGGCCTTTATGGAGGAAGGAAACTGGCCCCGTAAGCAGGTCCCTTAAAAGCCTGAACGGGGGAAGAAGCAGTATCTTTCCGAGCAGGAAGTCAACCCAACTGGTGCCAAATGAAGATGCTCCCCACAGGCTACCCGACCCCATAGAAATGCAAGAAGAAAAAGGCACCGCCGTGTCCATGGGCTGGTGCTTGTGCGTTCTTCTGGGTCAGGTAGGTGGAACCGGGGCCTTGTCCCTTATGAGTCTGGCATGACCCCGAAGCCCTGCTCTTCAGCGCAGCAGACACAGAAACACAGGACAAGGGACTAATATCCAGATTATATGAGGAACGCTTACAACTCAACAATAAAACGACAAATAACCCACTTTAAAAACTGGGCAAAGACCTTTCTCCAAAGACATAAATGGCCAACGTCATTAGTCATTAGGGAACGTGCATCTAAACCACATTGAGATGCTACCTGATACCCACTAAAATGGCTATAATCAGAGAGACAGAAAGTAACAAGTACTGGCAAGGATGTGGAGAACCTGGAGCCCTCCTCCACTGCTGGTGGGAATGTAAAATGGTACAGTTGCTGTGGCAAATAGTTTGGCAGTTCCTCAAAGAGTTAAACATAGTTACCTACCATACAGTCAAGTAATTCAGCTCCTACATTTATACCCAAAGAGCTGAACACATATGCTCACAAAAAAAACTTGCCAATGAATGTTTCTAATAGCATTATTCCTAACAGCCTACCCACAATGTGGAAACCACTCAAATGGCCATCCACTGATGAATGGCTAAAAACAAGGTGTGTCATACAGTGGAATACTGCCCAGCTGTGGAAAGGAGTAAAGAGGGGAATGCTACAGTGTGGACAAACCTTGAAAATGGCATGGAAAGTGAAAGAAGCCAGATGCAAACGCCTTATTCTGTATGATCCCATTTTCTATAAAATGTCCAGAATAGGCAAATCCATAGAGAAAGAAAAGTTAAATAAGTGGTTGCCTAGGGCTGGGGGAGGGGGGAATGAGGAGTGACTTAATGGTGTGGAGTTTCTCTGTGGGGTGATGAAGATGTTCTGAAATTCGATTACAGTGATGGTTGTACAACTGTGTGAATATACTAAAAGTCTCTGAATTATACACTTTAAAAGAGTGAATTTTAAAGTGTATTATATCTCAATTAAAAAAAAAAAGCCTAGTTGGGGGATTCTGGGGAGGGGCACTTACTCTCATCCCCCAGGAGGTCACCAAGGACATCATCAATGGAGCCTGGAAAAGAAAAAGGGCCACCATGACTTCAGGAGAAAAGAATGATCTTTTAGGGCCTCATGTCTTGAGACCTCAGAGCCTTCAGAGGCTGGGACTCAGGCTTGGCTCTCTCTTCACTGGCCACGAGATGTTTTCTAACTCCCGGCAACAAGTTACAACGTCTGGTTAAAAGACCCCAGTGTAGAAACTGAAAATAACTTTCTCAAAGGACAGCACAGATTTTCAGGAGAACCTACATTCTAAGTGACACATTGGCCAACAAGCCAGTCTTCTAGACCCTGAACAAAGTCCAGATGCTTCTTTGGGAAAAGTGTCCAGGATTTCTAGGCACACATACAATCTTCTTTTATACCAATAGCTTCCTGGTTCCCTTCCAGCTGAAACCCCCAGAACTGGTTTGGAGACACACCTTCTGATGGGGGGAACATGGAGGAAATTCAGGGGTGAATGGTGAATTAAACTTCTCATATCCAGCTTAAGTGCCTTCACCACTCTTAACCCCAACTGTATACTTCTGGATCCAGAGCCCAACAAGAAGGATTTTTTCCCAAGTCCCATCCCTTGTTTATTTCCGAATTACTCTGAGGGCCAATGAGGCAGCAGCAGGAGTTCCCTAGGAAAACCAGAGCTGCCTTTGGGATTATGGGAAATCAGCACGATTCACACCAAGAACATTCAGACAGACGTGTCTGTTATTTATGGACTGAAGGTGGGGAATTCTTTTTGGCTTAAGGGTGATGTTCCATCTCTCACTCACCTTTCAGTCCCTTCTTGGTTTTTGGTGCCTAAAATGGGAAAAATAAATCACATTAACAAAATCAGACAGTAAATGTGTATTGAAATCGAGAATGCAGAATGAACTGTTTTGCCTTTTGCCAAGTCACCAGAGGAAAAGGAGCACTGATGGCATTTCGAGACAGAAGCCCTTTGTGGTTTTCTTAGAGTTTCTGAGAACAGGCTCATTCAGAGCATGAAAACGGCCCCCACTAACAAGCAGTGGACACCACTGTGGGTGCCATCCGATGGGAAGAAGTCTCTTCTTTTCCCCCAGATTTCCAGACACCACATTCATACCCTTCCAGCCAGCCAGGATGCAATATTTTCCTCTATTCCATGTTCCTGACTTCTCAATACCAGGAACAGACACTTAAAAAAATCCTTTCAAATGGACATTGAGAGACTAAGAAGAAATGCTTGCTTATTGCTTAATAAGAAGCTTGATATAAATGCTACTAACCATCACTCTTCTTTGGGGTCACCCAGCTCCCCAAAGTACTTCATGCAGCTAAAATCTTGGAGGTGGGAGTAGGGGTGAGGGCAGGCTGACATTTCCACACACCTACTCTGCATTCTGCCTACCATCTCAAGGCTCTGGGGGCTGCTTGCAGCTCCTTCACAGCATTGTCCAGCTCATTTGAATTCTGTCCATCAGGCTCATCCTTCCTAATGAAGAAAATTAAAGTGGTTGCTTAAAAGTGATGTAGCTTTAACAGTGCTTGAGTCCAAGACCTGTCACGCCTTCTCTCACTTTACCCATTCAAGAGGTCAAAACCTACTTCTAGCAATTAAAAATTCCTTATGCGGGGCAATTCAGATGAGAAGCAAAGTGCTCTGGGTAACTTTCTGAGGCCTGGACATCACTCAAAAAAAGTGCAGTGGTCCTCATCCCTCACCCTGGAAGAAGATGTAGAAAATGGCGGGTACCTATCTCAGAAAGGAGGTGGGTGCCTGGCACTATGGCCAATAAACCTCCCCAGGCAACACTCATGACTACTCTCCAGGCAGCATTCAGCACAAAGAGCAGATGGGAACGCTGGTTACTCCTTGAAAGCATTTTCACTGATGGTGGAAAAATTCCCCTTCACACACATCCGAATCACTCCATTAGTAGAGAATGGTTTTCCTCAGAATGATCACTCTTCCTCTCCCTCCTCAACGCTGCCAAATCTGACCTTTGGCACAGCTTGAAAGGAAGGAGTCAGAGGAGGGGATCTTTACTTCTCTGGTGTCCTGTCCTGTTATTAGAATGCAGTTTGTGTGGGGTTACTGTACAGGGCCACTCTGAATGGCTGTGTTTCTCCTTCTCTGTAATGACAATGTTCACGAACTTTTAAGTCCAAACACGTTTGGAGTCTAGGAGCGTCTGCCATCTCCTCCCTCCCAGACCGTGGGAATTTCTGAGAGGCTTGCAAAGGACACTGCCACAGGGACCCTCGCGTCATCGCATCTGCTCAGCCAACTTCGTGACAGGCATTTTGAAATCCCGAGCCCGCCCCTTAGCAAGGGCCCTCCCGGAGTCACCCACTCCCTCAGTCCCGAGATTCCGCGTCCCTCCATGCGTCACCCCCTCCCCGCGCCCAGCCTATCTCGATCCCAAGCGCAGCCTGCGATCCTCCCAGCCCCTGAAATCCCCCAGGTTACGCGCCATTCTCTTCGGAGGCGCAGCCGCTGGGCCGTGTCCCAGCCACAGCCGCTGGTCCAGACTCCACTCGAGCCCGGCTCTGTCAACCTCCAGCTACGGAGCCTCGCGAACGCCAATCTCTCAGTCGCCCGGCCTCCGGAAGTAAGGCGAGGCGCGAAGCATCCTGGGGGTTGTAGTCCTAGGCCCGCTCACCTGCCGAGACCAAGGAAACATGGGCCACCAGGATGAACTACATTTTCCAGGGTGCCCCGCCGCGGCCGTTAGTCGGTGTCGGGCCTCTGTTTGAGGCTTGGCGCGTTGCTAGGAGCTCACTGAAAGCCCTTTCGCCAAGAGCGGGCGACCGGGATACAAAGCTGCTGGGCTTTTTCCTCCTCCTCTTTCCCCGGATAACTGCTGGGGCCTAGGCTCCAAGACGGAACATTTAAAGTTCTTCCAGCACTCTTCCGAGGGCTGACTCGTGGAGGGCGTGAGAAACGTGTCAAGAGTGGGAGATTGACGTGGTGAAACCACAAATTATTATGTATTTATCCCACATTCCAAAGCTTAGGGAAATAGTTGTGACCTTCCTGTTAAGAAAATCAAAGTTGCAAAGGTAGAGTGAAACCCAACATCACCATGTAATAAAGACATGTAACATCTTTTTGTGTTAAGATTTTATTAAGGGTTTGTCAATTTTACAAAGGAAAAGGGGGGTTAGTGGTTTGGCTTACCCGCAGGCCAAGCAGGGCTGGCGGGGCACCGCCGGATGATTCAACCATGATTCAGACTTTCGACCCCGCGCACTTCCTGGTACTCCCATCCTCAATGACACATCCAATCAGGGATGGGTAACAATACACACTAAATGTCTTGTCAGGTAGGAACCAACTCAAGCCACAACAGTCATAGAAAAAAAGGGAATTATACACTCCAGAGAATACAGATCATTTCCTTGAATCCACAGCAATTGGAAATTGCTTACCAAGTAGTAGTCAACAGTCTGAAGATCACTATTTGTTACCTGTGAAAACAGTTGACAGTAGTGTGGCAAAACAATGTATTTTGAGTCAGAATTCTTAAAATCATGCCCAATTTTCCATGATCTTCCTGAGATAATCAGTGACTCACTTGAATTTAAGGAAAAATCAAATCAAAAGCCTCTTGGGATCCAGGAATTTGCAAGTCTGCAACAGCTAACATCTGGTAACTCTAAAGATTTCTTAAATGTTTGTTTACTCCCATGGACCACAGGAATATGTACTGAAAGTTTAGTTTGGACATCTGAAAGCAAAACTCCACCAATATTTTAATATTAAAAGACATTTTAGTCACTTACAGGGTGACTTAAGTCTAATCCTCCAGGATTATAGTAGTAAATATTCAATTAGCTGAAATGATCTCTGCATTATTTCATGAAAATGATCAAAACCTTTATCTGATTGTCAGAAGACTCAACAAAAGACTCTTGGTCTCAAGTAAAATAATCAATTTTCTGGCACTGTTCCCCTCTCCAGCTGCAGTAGCAACTGCCGTTTGAAGACAATCTATAATCCCCTCCACATACCTAGTGGGTGTCACAGACTGTCTGCGTCTGATTTTCTTCCTTTCTAGTAAGATGGATGGAAAGAATTCAGAAAAGCGTAGGAGGAAATTTGACCAACGGTTGTCTAAAGAATTTTTGTTCCCGGAACTCGAGGATCATGAATCTAATTCCCCAGCCAAAGCCCTACACTGAAGAAAATTCAAGAATCAAGACTGAATATGTTAACTCTAGGAACTATTAAACACCTCCAGGTATATGGAATCTGAAATTACAAGCAGTGAGTCCTCAGAAAGTACGTGAACATCGTTAATGTTGCAATTAAGTGAATGTTCTGAAGATAAGCTGCTACTTAGCAGAGCTATGTTCTGAAAACAAGAATATGAAGGGCCCCACTGTGCTCTGAGGTGACTAATGTCCAAACACTGAAATATACCTGTCTCTATCAAGTAGAGCATGATGTTGAGCTTCAAACACGTGAGGAAGAATCAACCTTCATCCGTTACAAACAGCAACATCTCTATTAAACCTCAAAGGCTTACATCAGTATCATTAGTTCTATTCATCATCATTAAAGACTAGGTTGAAATTTATCTTTTTGTACTCTTTGTGAAAATGGCTCACTAAAGAATCCAAGAGAACCACACTTACCTGTGGCAGTCTGGCTTTTTAGAGACAGCAAACTGGGTCTGCTAATTCCTTACGAACAGCCAACATCTGTACTCCTGCGTGGGCAGAGTACTCACACTCTACAGTTAATGGCAATTACGGCCGGCTCAGAGCTGTCTGCCTAGGTAGGTCTCTCTTCCCTTTTTTTGTTTTTAGTGTTACCTAAACCTGTATCTTATAATTCTTCATAAACTTATGTTTAATTATGTGGCAGTCTTTCCCTCTCAATAGTACAAATTAGTGAGATTTCATGATATCTTTATTCTTTGATTACAATGAATAAAGTTCAAGACAAAACATTCCAATGTTAATAAAAACACTGTCAAATATCAGATTGAGTATTTAAATAAAAATCAAGGTGCTAGACGGAATAAAGCTGGCTCTAGAGTCCTCACCCTATTCAAACCTGCTTAGATCTCAGACCTCTGCAGCTTGATTAGGTGGGTGCCATTTCAAACACCCTCAGATCCTGGCCACAGGCATTCATCTGTGAATAGGACTTTGAACAGGTCAATACTAAGCAATTTTAAATTTACTCTTCATTATTTCCCAGAATCTGAACTATTGTCAAAAGAGATTAAGAGCGCTTTTTACTTTAATCTTAACACAATTATCAATTAGTTCTCTTGGTGGAAAGATCAAGGCTTGTGTCAACAGACAGTATTTCTTCTGCTGGACCTTGAAGACTCCTATTCCACTGGGATAAATTTTATGTCAGGTCCCAAGATAGGAATTTTATTTCCACTGAACTATACTACATTCTCAAGACTGATTCTAGAACAACCGGTTTCATGAAGATGTCACAGATATACATAAGCAGTTAACAAGTTAAAAAAAAATCGAGTGACTTGTTTTAGTTGATTTTAAGAAAAATTCATTAAGAGCTACATGTTTAGGCTTTAAATAGAGAATGACTGTGTAAATTAGATTTCAGCCGAAAGGACAATTTAGCAAGTCAGATAAAGCTCCTAGAAACATGCTGAAAATAAAGCCAGATATACAATAAGAAATAGATTCTATGGAACTTCCATTCATCCTTTAGCCAGAGTTTCAGTGATTAGATTTTCTGATCCCAAAATCAGAACACATGGTTTGTCAAAGGTTTTTTTCTGGGTGTAAGAGGCGGTAAGTGATTCTTTTATTTTTGTGATGCCAGGTACTGTAACTTCCAAGCATTTTGATGGCTTATGCTAAAATGAACAGAACATAGGAAAACTGGATAGTTTCAGAAAATTTAGTTAATATGGTCACAAAAGTTACAGTAATCGTAACTGACAGCTCTCCCTGAAGTATTTCACTAAGAAAGAACCGTGGCACTTTTTTTCTCCTTCCTTTAGCATCTCTCTCAGGAGAGAGAGAGGGAGCCAGATCAAACACTGACTGAGGTCCCATCAGTTGCCAAAAGTTACATGTGGCGATAACTTTGCTACCTATCCCTTTCCCAAGAAGTTGGGGACAAAGGGAGTTGTAGTGCTACTAAAAGCAACAGCTTAGGGATCTCTCCAAGGGGAGATCAGTTCCTAATTACATGGGACAGGGACCCTGCAGCAGCCTGTGCTGAAGAAATCCTCCTGTTGTTCCTACAGTTAGGCAGGAACAAGATGTCAGCAAAGGGGGGCAAGCAGGCAGGAAACGTGCCAATGTGTCAAGTACAAACTCACGCACATTGGTTCCTGATTAGTTTCCTTCCCCAATCCCTCTTCTTCGGTCCTGCTTTTTAGCCAGGGCTCCGAGGGGGAGGACAGTTAGCAGGAAAGCTTGGAAGGGTTCTACCCTGCTTAAAAAATACCTTTGCTTAAAAACACTTGTAGATCCAGTGATCAGCAATTAAGAAGAGAAAATAATTAACTACTTAGTAGTTGAATTCTACTAATTATCAAAAGTCATGGCCTCCTGGGATCAGCAGCATTACAAATGGAAGTCATCCTGTGTTTCTTAAAGCTTTTTCTGAATGCATCACAGGTTCTCTTTCAGTGTTAATTGCACTTGTAAAACACATCTGTTTCTTTCCTTTAATCTCTGAAATCTGTTGTTTTTTTCTTTTCATTTTTATAAAAAAGAGGAAAGGGGTCAATTTATCATTTGCTCTATAGCTTTCTGAATTTGATAAAGATTCCACGCAGATTGGTGTGACAGGTGTCAGGGGAATCGATACAGCAGCTTTCAGAAGCAGGTCGAAGTTGTCAAGATGCTTCAGAGCTTGGACTGCAGTGACTTCAGGTGCTTGTGGTAAGATTCATGGACCTGCAGGGAAGGGAGAGAGAAAAAATTGCTGACAAGGAGTTTGCAACTTAAAACAACATACTTTTAATAAAGAAATTATCTGAATCTTATTTGGATCCTGAGTCCAAAAAAAAAAAAAAAAACACCAAAGGGCAGGAGGTGGGGAAGAATTGAGCAAACCGGGGGTATCTGAACATTGACTGAGTAGTTTATGATATGAAAGAATTACTGTTAACTTGTTTAGGCATGAGAATGGTATTGTGGTTATGTTTTCAAAAGAGAGCCCTTACCTCTTAGAGATACACACTGGAATATCTACAAATAAAGTTATCTGATATCTTGGATTTGTTTCTAAATAATCTGCAGCTTGGAGGCTGAGATGAAACACAACTGGCCATGAGCAGGCGGGGTTTGAAGCCCGACGAAGGGTACGCAGGGAGGCATTAGTGTTCTATTTGTGTATGTGTTTAAAATTTTTCAGCTGTTGTTAAATAATCAAGGAAGTTGAAAACCTGCACTCGGCAGGAATGGCCTCGTTCCCTTCTCACCTGCTGCTCAATCAATGGAGCGACTGTCCCAAGCGCCCTTTAAGGGCTTTCAAAGCTTTCACGGATGAGTCACTCTCAGGGCTTTTCTGCCTTAATATTTAAGTGAACAGTTTCAAACGGTGAAAAGACACTGTTTCTTTACCTCTGTTTTGTTCAGTGGGGACTTCTTGGCCCACTCGAACATGTTTTCATATACGTTGCCATCATAGCGGCCAAGCACAGAGCCCAGTGTCACATCCTGGAAATCAAACGCGTCAACCAGAGCAACGGCATCAGGGCGGATGGCGGTCAGCAGCTCCTTTATGCGCTCGTTCACTTGGGTGACTTGAGACTCTGTCATGATGCCCCACTAAAAGCAGCAGAACAGAAGGAGAAGTATGTTACACAGACAGAAGGATATATTTATATGCATGTATATACACCTGCACAACTATAAAGTAAACCACAATTCTTTTTCTACCAATAACTTACATGCGTAAATGAAAGGAGTTAAACTGAGAAATACTGACCTGAAGAAAATCCCCTGCCTTCTGACAGATTCCATACAGGGAATACAAGAGACACAAATTCCTTAAGACAGCTTGCACGGATCTATCTTGAATTTGGGGGATTTTTTCTGAAAAGAGCTTAACTACCACATAGTGGCAATGTGCCTACATAAAAAGAAAACAGCAAAGTGTAAGAAACCTTGAAAAAGACTCAACGCACGGAGAAGGGTTTCTGCACTAAGAAAACGAGGTGGGTGGTGAAGGACCGGGGCGGGGGGGTGGGGAAGAGAGAACCACCACTGACCTCACTTGCCCGAACCAGGTCAATGGACGTTAGGTTCCATGCTACCTCCTTGCTTTTTCTGTGAATGACTTCAGCTTGAAGGTTTTTCGCAGCAATTTCTACTAATCTGTCAAAAAAGAAAAAAAAGAAAAAGAAAGAAAACTAGAGCTCAAGGGAGTGATCAGTGGTACCTGTGCCTTTGTCCTCTGCCATCGGGCCCCCAGCCCCCACTGCTGCCTGTCCCAGCTCCCGAGGGTGTGCTCACCTGGCTGCACGGAGTCTGTACGCTTCAGTTAGGCTGTCAGGGCTGTTGATGTCCACCACGGTCGGCCAGACTGCCACCTGCTGTGGCTGGATGCGCTGACTGGGCAGGTCATTCAAGTAGGACACCATGCCACACACCAACTTTCCTGAGTGCACCTGGTCATAACTTTTCATCAGGAACCTACAAATCACCAGGTCACATGCTTTCACTAACTATGCTTCTTGTGAAACAGAAATCAAACAGAGCCCTGGAAGGACTAAGCCATGGGACAGGTGCTTCATACTCACTAGAGTCTGACCATAAGAGAAAAACTGCGGGTTGGAAGGATGGAAAGCAAGAATGGTATCTTTCAGGAAGAAATACAACGCGAAGAGAAAATGTGGGAAAAGGAACCAACGAAAAGGTTCCCAGAACTGGAATATTCTTAAGAACAGATCAGAGAAACGATGAGTTAGACTCTCACCTGGCTGTCTGGAGCATCATGACAGTGTTTTCTCCCTCAAAGGTGCAGGTTGGGGTAAAATTGACATAAATATTTGGAAGTCCACTGCAGTGAGAATAGCCATGCCCGCCACAGGCCATCCGACAGGCTTCGATAGCAGCGTTCGCCGTCCAGGACGTGAAGGCCTTCAGCCCGGCGGTGAGGGCATGAAGCTGCGGGGGAGGAGGCACGAGGTCGTCAGAGCATCACCCGTGGGGCTGACGGCCCGTGTTCCAACAAGAAACCCTTATCCTCACCAAACAGTACTAGTTGCCTTCAAAATCACTTGCCAGGCATGTAAACTGAAAAGCAAGGTCATCCAATTGGCCTGAAATAATAACATGCCCACACTCCCTTCTGAACTGTTCTACCTGGGGAAAAAAAAAAGGCACCACTTATGTTCCTTTGATTAATAAATGACCAATGTGGTACAGTAATTCTGAATCTTAAAAACAAACCCACACCATCTTCACATCTGATCCATTTTCAATTAGAAAAATTTCTCTACCTTTTGAGAATATATGGATTCTTTTCAAGAAATCTCAATGTTTCACTTTCTCTGGACATTACCCAGCAGGAAATATGAACCAGAGGGTGCCCACGAGGGAACAGGACCCAACACGCACCTCTGGCAGCTCACTCAGGTCCCCCTCGCCAATGTCCTTGTTAATCCGGTGATAGGTCTCCTTCATGTATGCGCCCACAAACTGGAAGGCATAGGCGGTGGCCAGGAGGGGAAAAAGTTTGTACTGCTGGGTTTGATAATCCAAAATCTGTGGTTCTGGTTCACTAAAGTACATTAAAAAAAAAAAAAAAGAGAGAGAGAAAGAAAAATTAAACACCTACACAGAACTTACTGTGTGCCAGGTTCTAGTCTAAGTACTTTTCTTGGGGAGGGGGGGAGGGGGGGTGGTTAGGCTTACTTACTTACTTACTTACTTACCTACCTACCTACCTACCTATTTATTTATTTATGTTTAATGGAGGGACTGGGGATTGAACCCAGGACCTTGTGCATGTTAAGCATGTGCTCTACCACTGAGCTATACCCACTCCCCTAGTCTAAGTACTTTGATAGATTATTTAATCTTCATAAAGACCCTGTGAGGTAACTTTTATTTTCCCTATTTTATAGATGGGGAAAATGAGAGGTTAAGAACCTGCCAGAGGTCACACAGCTAATAAGTGGCAGATCCTTGATTTAAATCTAGGCTGTTTGGATAAAGAAGACCATGCTCTTAACCACCTTGTTGAGCTGCCTTAGGTGAACAGAATTTTCTAGCTGTGACGTTCATATCTTAGTCTTTCCAGTCTAAGTTTCCTTGAAAACATGGCAAGACCCATGACAACATATAAGACCAAAGTTCATTAACCTCACAGGAGGAAGGCAATGTGAAAGGGGTCTAGATGGCTGAATAAACCGTATTTTGATCACAATCTGAGAAGACCCAACACATAGAGTTAAATACTTGAAGTCTAAGAAAGTCTGCTCTTAACAATTTCTTTGAGTAAAAAAGTTACCAAGGAGCCATGCCCAAGAAATAAACCGCGTCCACGAGCACAACAAGGAGTCAAATTTGACGCCACTTTTACCATACCCAATCTGTAGTGCTTAGCGGCAGTGAGAGTTTCACACTGCCTTCAGGTTTTGAACATTTCAGAGCTCAAGTGACTTACAGAGCTGAAGTCACATTACTGTTTTTCCTAGGTTAAAAGTGACAATAAGGTGGTTATTCTCATCTTTCCACTTAAGGGAAGTCTAGGTTCTAGGCTGCAGACCCAGTACACAGCCATCCTCACTAATTTTATAGCAAATGCACACCTTCTCCACACCATATCTGGGAATTCTCATATCTGAATGGGGTCAAAGTCAAGTCTTCAGCACTGAGTCCACCTCAGGCCCTCCCTTACCCTGGCTTGATTTCAGACTGGTGCCTCACGGCACTGTATCGGATGGCAATGGTGCAGGCCTTAGACAGACACCGAGCGGCTTCTCCCACAAGGAAGGACCTGATGAACACCATGGTCCCGTAGGTCAGCTTGTTACTCACGGGTTTCACGTACGTGCCATCAGGCTTCACCTGGAAAAAGAACATGGGACTGATGCTTCCTTCTGTTAAACCCAAGTGGCAGTTTAGGCCAGTGGTTCTCAAAGTGTGGTCCCCAGAAAGGCAGCATCAGCGTCACCTGGAAACTAGTTGGAAAGATAAAACCTCAGTCCCCACTCTAACCTACTACATCAGAACCTCTGGGCAGGGAGCCAAGCAATCTAGGTTTTAGCCAGCCCTGCAGGTGATTCTAATGCAAATGAAAGTTTGAGACCCCCTGGCAGAAGAAACCACAACATGCTCTTCATACCTTCCAACTGCTTTTGATTTCCTGGTCATAAACAAAGAGCAGCAGAAGTAAAAATTTGTTATTATCTTCTAAAAGAACAGACCCTTCTAACCCTGTGATTATCAATAGACACTGATGCCCCCGTGGTTTTGACACCTCTGCTGCTACTTTCTGCCTAAATATACCTGGGCGTACTTCATCAGCATGTTTTCTCTGGGAATACGGTAATTGTCCATCTTCAGGTAGCCGTTATCCATCTCATCATAGCCAAATTTGGGGCCGATGTCTCCAACGGTAATCCCTACCACAGATGAAAGGAAAGTCACAAGGTGTTTATGATCCAGAATTCTTGGCTTCCCTCCTCTTCTTTAGTTACATGTTACACTTTTTGCAGAAGAAAGGGATTGGCTTAATTTTTCATCTTAACATCAGATGAACAATTCTAACCTGGCAGAGGCTTATGGGTCCCAAGTTCCCGAATAGGAACAATGAAGGCATGTAACCCGTAGCATTTCCCCTGAGTGATGAGCTGGGCAAGTACAATTGCATAGTTTGACGTCTTTCCAACTGCAACATCAAAGAGAACACAAGAGGAAAGTGAGCAAACGTTCTGACATTTTCGAAGGATAGAAATAAAAGCCAGGGGAAAGCGTATGTTAAACATAACACTAGATTCCATCAGTAAAGTGTGTCCAGAGAGCCTTTCTTATGACAGTGCCACATCTACTTCTCAGAAAGAAATACACTTAAACAGACAGCTATTAAAATTCACTGAATTTTGGCAGAGCAATCCTTCATTTTCTTTTTTAATATATAAACTTAAATTTGTATTGATATAATTGATATATAACTATGTAAATTTAAAGTGTAAGACATGTTGATTTGAGAGCCAGCCTTCACTTCAAAAGACAGCTTTACTTTTCCTTCTACTTATTTCTCATTCATTTACATAAAGATAATTTCAGGATAACCATAAGAACATTAATTTAAATCACTTCCTTTTTCTCCCTTAAAGCAGGGCTTTCCAAAACAGGAGCCACTTAGCCATATGTGGCTATTTACATTTAAGTTAATCATAAGTAAACGAAATAAAGGATTCAGTCCCGAGTCAGCTAGCTACATTTCAAGTGCTCAGCAGCTGTAAGTGGCTAGTGGTTACCACACTGAACGGTGAAGACAGAGAAGATTCCATCACCGCATAAAGTACTATGGGATAGAACTGCTTTAAGAGATTTTTGGTCAGCGCCTCCAGAAATATTTAGCTTTTTTTTTTGCATGCTAGGTTTTTCCTTTTTAAATCAAAATGTAACATCACATATTAAAATATATAATGTGAATAATGAAATCCTTCAACCACTCATGTCATCTGAAATATATATCCTAAAACAACAGCGATATTAAATAAATTCCATGGCAAAGCTATTTAGAATAAAAATTTAAAAACAACTCAAATGCTTTTCAATATGGAAATGACTAACCAAACAGGGAATACTAAATTACTGTTTTTGTGTGGTTTTTAAAAAAATTTTTGACAGGGTAATTAAGTTTATTTATTTAGTTGTTTAGTTACTTACTTACTTATTTTAACCGAAGTACTGGGGATTGAACTCAGGATCTCATGCATGCTAAGCACACCCTCTATCACTGAGCTATATGCTCCCTCCCCTCCACGTTACTTTAAATGACGACTCTGGAAACTATGCTAACGTGTTGGAATGTTTAAATGAAAAACTAAGAAAAGCAGAGTAAGACAGCTTCCCTTCCTGAGCTTCGTAAAATGTATAAATATCTACAACATGCAACCCAAGAGAACGTGAAATAGCTTAGGATAATTTAAACCTGAAGAGCTTTTTCTATATTTCGAAATTATATTCTCATGTAAGTTCTACATCCTAAACACAATCTTACAATAATAAATCTTTAAAAGATCCAATAATTGTTAAAAAAAAGTTCACTTACGCCCACCAGGCCACCACTTGATGGAGGTCACAGTAGGACTATTGAGAATAAACTCCTGGGTTTCAGGGTCGTAAGTGGCTGTGGTTTCCAAGCCTCGAAGGTGAGTTCCTAAGGAAATGAATTACACTTACTTCAGACAGAATACGGGAAAAACAGGTACAGGGTCAAATTTCCCACCCAGCCCTCTAAAGCAATAGTCTCTCAGAGACCAACAAAACCTAACATCAACAAAACATCTGTAGATGAGTGACAAATGGTTGATAACCAAGACACACAATTTCCTATGCTCAAATCAGAAGTTCCTGTTCAGTTGGAAATACAAATGTCAAGCATGTTCCATTTCTGCACTTGACTGAGTGCACCTCTATGGCAATGGATACATAACATTTATTGAGATCAACCAATAGAAAATGTAAAGGCAGCTTAGAATCAGTTTCATAGGATCACAGGATATTAACTGCACAGGGACGTTAACAGCCCTTTTAAATGCATCTCTATGTTGTTAGTGTTGCCAATTTCAACTCATTGGTATTGTGTCTACCAGACCGATTCAACATTCTGGAATTTTGTCACAACAAAGAATAACACGTGACAGGAAGAGATTTTAGCTAAAGTTCTTGTAAATTGAGAGTTCATTTCAACAATGAACGCTAGAAACGAAAAAGAGAGCTTAAAAAGTTATAACCATTTCAGGGAAAAAGACCCGGAACAGGGATTTTTTTTTTAATCTTCTGTAAGTCCAATAATAAAGTCTGAGCTCACCCTGCATTCTTGCAATGCTAGGCCTTAACTCAGTCCTGACTGGTTCACTAGTGTGACTAGAAGACTTCCCGACTTCATGTTTACTGGAGATGGACAGGGATTCATGTTTTAAATGTTAATACAAATGTGCCAAAATTCTTTGAAAAGAGTTACAGAAAAATGTTCTAAGTGACACAACCCTAGAAATACTATTCTCAAGTCAATTCTGAGACCCTTTTACCAAACTGCTTTGATAACGCACATCTCATTAAACACAAACTGTGAGACATTTAGAAACCTCCAGGCTAAGTAACAGAACGGCCAGTTGATGTGTGATCCACAACCTTCCTCTGTGTGGGAATCAAGGAACCAGACACTGAGGCTCCTTTCATCAAAGAAGAAACTTTTATAGAAAACGAGGTAGCATATTAAACAGAGCAGGTAATGAAAATGCTCAAAGGCACAATTGGATCAACTAATATTCCCTTTGGAAAAATCCTGTAAACTACCACTCAGCACCAAAACTGAAAGCCAACCAAATTAAGCAACCAAATTAAGATGAAGTTGTACAGAAATAAGGAGCAAATGGCACATATACACTAGGACAGTTGTTTTAAAACCTCTGAGTAGGAAAAGGAAGCCAGAAGTAAATGAATGGCCAACAGATACCAATACAGAACAGATGCTAAGAGGACCAGCCACCATCTCCAGCCCCATCCAGTTCACTGGAAAAGGTAGGTGCAGAATGGAAAGAGAAAAGAAAGGCGGTTGCACACAGTGCGGAATCAGCTGCCTAGAAGTACTGCTTCCCTAATTTTTCGCCTAGAAGTACTGCTTCCCTTATTTTTCTAAACTCTGGCCAAGCCATCTTCAGAACTTTACTGAATTTACTGAACCAAGGCAAGGACAATGTCAAGGTACAAAATGCTGCACGTTCTGGTTACATAAGCCACTCATTTCCCTCCAGCAAGTCAAAGAGCACACATACTATTAATTTGTGGTTCTTCTGGAATTTGTACAAGCTCATTAAGGTATCCATAGTAGAGGTAATCAGATAGTAACGAGGAAAAAGAGATGGGTGCAGATTCTACATGCACACAAATTCTATATAACTTCAGTGAACTGCAAAAACTGCATAGTAAATAAAGTCTGACTTGGAATTCTTGACCTTCTGAAGGGGAACCATGAACAGATAATCAGCAAGTCTGTGATAATATGACCTTTCATTTCCACCGACCAGAGCACTGTCTAAGTCAAGACTTTCAAGTATGGAAACCCTTGCCTCCACAGAAAAGACTGCATTTAAATAGATTGTACACAGCATGTGGAGATGCCACCACTGACACGTGGCGGGGGCGTGGGGGCACTCCAGGCCCCCTAAGCTCGCAGAGCCCCGCCCAGCCCAGAAGGTAGACTGAATGCACCATACCATGACCCATCTCTGTCTGGGCATAAGTGCCAATGATCTCCAAGTTCCAGGCGGGTATGAAGAAGCGCTCCTGCTGCTCCTCGGTCGCCTGGTGAAGCAAGGTGGGCAGGAACATGCCCAAGTGAAGATCCAGAGGCCCAGGCTGCCCTCGCTGCACAAAGCTTTGAAGAAATACCAAGGATGGGGATTTGAGAGAAGAGTCATCCGGGATGAGAGAATCAGCAATTTGTACAAACAGAGCAAGGGAAGGAGAAAAAAACCTGTTAGTATGAATTAGTTGAGTGGACTTTACTATGGATGGGAGCACTGCCCCTTTCTGTATTACTTTATAACTCTTGGCAACTTCCACTTTTCTTACATTGGCAAGAAGTGTTTGGCCGCTGATTCCAAAGCCTGTGCAGCACAAAGCCACACAAGCAAGGCAGAGGATTCCAGCTTTGCAATCAAAGCAACTGAAAAACGTGAAGAGGCTAGATGGAATGGAGAAGCTGAGTTGTACAATGACTTATTTACGTTAATGGAAAGTGGAGACCAGAGTCGCTCTCTCAGGTGAAAGTTCCTCCAGGATCCAATTTCAATAATGCTTCTAGGCTGGAACCTTTCCTGTTTGTCCACAAAACATCCAGCATTAGTCCACATTCCTCACGTAACTCTGTTCATTTCATTCAGAGCCATCAAATATTCAGCCTCATGCTACTGAACCAGTTTAATACAAAAAGTGACAGTGCTCCTAATCCCAATAATTAATTTCAGAAATAAAAAGACATGTGATTTTTATTGAAGACCACAATATATACAAACACCAGATTTATGCATAATAAGCTCTCCATTACAATTACATGGGAATTACCACTAATGATAATAAACATGTTAGTTGTCTGTTATTTATTTATTTATTTATTTATTTATTTATTTATTTATTTATTTAATTTATAGTTGTCATTTATAATCCACTTCCTAAATTCATTCTTTTTCCATTTAAAACTTGCAGGTGCCTTAGGCATTTATTTCTAATAGGAAATAGTTCTATATGCTTTCTATATTCCTTTGTAATTTTGCACGTTCTTGGCATTTTTATTAACTTCTAGCTCTAAATTAATCAACTGTATATTGCTCTTACTGTTCTCTTTAGTTATCTTAGAAATGAGCCTAAACATTTCAGTTTCAAAAATCTGTTCCACATGAGGAGGAGCATAATTAGGGCAGAGTGCTCAGGTGCGGGGGATCTGTGACGTCGTCCTCCCCCCCCCCCGGGGGGGGCTGGGCGGGGCTTTCAGCTAACCAGTGAAATAAAAACCAAAGAATGTACGACTAACTTCCTCATTTTACAAAGAAATTCAAGCTGAGATGAGTTGAGTGTCTTCAGGTCAAAAAGATAATGGCAATAAAGGACAAGAATCTCATTGGCTCATTCTGTCTCCCAGTGCAACCTGGGCCGAGGACAATGATAAGGACACTAGGATGACTTTCGGACACTACAGCTAGACTTGGGAGATGTCAAAGTGGAAATCCTGTAAGCTGTTACCTCCGGTGGAAACTGGGTGAAAGGTCCACGGAACCTCTCCATGCTATTTTTGAAACTTCCTATGACTCTATAATCATTTCAAAATAAAAAGCTAAACATAACAAAACCAAACCAAAACCCAGCTGCAATCCCTGGAAAAAGGTATTCACGGGATGAGAGAGTATCTCTCACTCACAAATAGGAAAACCAACTGTCCTGTTTTGTACTGGGGAAAAATGGTGTTACCCAGAGCACGCTCAGTAAGGCAGGGGTAACACTACCACAGCCAGACACTGTTTTGAAACTGAAAAATGTTTTCAGGAGTAAAAAGTCTCTTGTGACTAGGATAAGGACTATTCAGAAGTGGATGAAATGAAGAAATATTACAAGGAGAAAGTGACCTGGATAGTTTTTGACTTAAATCAAATATTTGTTGCAATCTTTATGCATGATAAAGATCATATACTATTCAAAAATAATTTGAAAATTGCAACACATCATCATTTTACTTGCTAAAGAGCTAGGATTAATTCTCTTAAAACCGTAACACCAAAAGGCCTTTCCAGTCTCTTCTATGTTATACAGGGCTGGAAAGGCTCCAGTCAACTGAGGACAAAATGATTAGGTTAATAATACATAAAAAAGGAAGAAATCAACATATCATCTCCATGGGCAGTATGATTATAATTCTAGGAAATCAACCACAACAAAACACCATCAATAATAAATGAATTCAGAAAAGTTGTACGCTATAAGGAAAAAAACCCACTTCATTCTTATCCATTAAAACCATTCAAATAGAAGCACCAGTATAGAGAAAGGTGATTTATAATAGCAACAAAATACTTTAAAAATGTGTTAAGTAATTTAGCTCAGGATATTAAAGATTTAATTAGGAAAAAGCATAAATACTTACTAGGATGAATAAAAGAAGATATGGATAACAGGAAAGAAATTGCTAATTCTTGGCTGAGAGGACTAAATAAAATGAGTACCTCCCAAGAAAATACAGGGACTTAATGCAACATGAGTTTTAAATTCTAATAGAATATGTTTTAGAACTTGGCAAATTAAGATCAGAATTCATCTGGAAGAATAATTGTGCAAGAACACTGAATACCTATATCCTGAAACGTAACAACAGTAGGCTTATCCCATCAGATTTTTAAATGTCTTAAAAAGCAACAACGAGCCTAAGTTTATGATGTTAGGAGAAAAAGAATGAAACAAATCCATGTAATATACTTAAGGTTCCAGAAATAAATTGCAACTATCACAAAACTCTAAGATGAACCAGAAAGAACGCAACAAGGAGGAGGGGCTTACTAGTTAATAAACATAAAAGCAGTATGGGATTCACTCATCACTCAGTATCACACACGAGTCAAAGCATTAAACACAAATCAAACAAAAAAGGAATAAAATAGAAGATAATTATCCAAGATATGAGAAGGATACTTTGGATATATAAGGCCAAAACGTTTTAAACAGAGGCAACAGGAAAAACACCGGAAGGGCACAATGTAATCTTACAAGATCAATATGCAAAGTTTGTTTATTCAGTACTTGAAGGAGAAAAACCCAGTTTATAAATAGGAAATGCAGACAGTAAGTCAAAACATGTAACGTCCAGACTCACTAGTGCTGGAAAATTAAAACTTTAACTCTTAGGATATATTAAAGCAGGAAGAAAAAAAATAACAAAGTAACAGTGTCGATGGGGCTATGGAGACACAAGTGCACTAGTGAGTTGATGAACAGACCAAAACTCGTTTGGACTTTGCACCACCAAAAGCTAGAAAGTGTTCATTCCCTTAAAACTTAATAATTCATTTCTGAGATATTCCAAAGGCATAATCCAAAGAACACAGTTCTTGCAAAGAAGTTTATATTGTTATGAAAAACAGTGGGGAAATGAGAATACCCAGGGAGCAAGTGTCACGGTAAGTCCAACAGGGAAGAGAATCACCCTGGGAAAAAGAGGACAGGAGACTCTCTGAGAGACAGAGCAGTGAGGATACAGGGAGAGAAAGATTAGTGACTTACAAAATCAAGTTTACTATTTATTTTTCAAGTTTCAAAGAAGGAAAGGTGCATTATCTCATATTTGAGTATTAGTGATGGGAATTTGCAAAGATCCTGCACCATCTTCGAGGATGACTGAACTACATAAGCTCTATTTTCCTTAATAATAATAATAATAATAATAAGCAAGAATCCCTATTAAGTGGCCATAACTTGAAATGGTCAAATACGTGTGAAGACCAAACATACTATCTCCTTTGTGACCTGGGGAAAGGTATGGTCAGGATGACTAACCCTGGACCATGTTCCAGACTTTCCCATTAACACCCAGGGAGACAGCATCCTCCTTGGCCCAGGCCTCTGTCTTTGCTCACAGACTCACAGACCAAGTGTGTGCGGGGCTCGTATGCTGATACAGACAGGTGTGTATTTAAAGGCGGGAAGACACATTCTAAAGGGAAAAGGAAAAAAACTGGTGACCTAGACTTTTTGCCGGTGGTTGCATTTTAAGATTTTTGAGCATTGTGGAGCAAGCCCGAGCAATTTTGAGTCTCTTCACTTCTCAGTGGCTCTCTAGAGGTGAAAGAAACCTAAACTGAATGTTACAGCCAATTCTGTGAGAACTCTCTAGATAATCATTGCTGACCAATCAATGATCCAAAGTCTTTATAAACAGTCAATCTTTACCCTGTGCAAGCCGCTCTCCTGCCAACCCCTCTGACGCTGCAGTACTTTTCACAGATTCTACGTAAGATTATACCATCACACGACACAAATTAACCAACAAACTGACTAGCTTCTCTGGAAAAGAATAGCAGTCAGCAAAACACAACTAATGTGAACTGACAAAGTTCCAGCAAGAAACAAGACCTCATCTTAAAATTCTGTTTCTCTAAATAAACTACAGAGATTAAGATAAAGTTGTTTGAATTCAAGAAAACATTCGAAAACTGGAAGCAGTAAGGGAAAGGAAACTCTAAGAAACACAAACTCGTCCAGAGCAACACAGGACCTTCGTGGAATATTCTGGGCTACTCGAACAAGTGAAGTTCAAGTCTTCATTTCTTCCTCTCTTCCTTCCAGTATATGTTTGGAATGTACTTTACAAATAAAAGCAGGATTAGACCAACAAGAGAGACACATGTTAGACTCGTTTAGCCTCAGAAGAATTTATACCTTATGTTTCCTATGAACAACCTGACCGTTAAAGTCAAATAAATTCAATGATGAATACTAAAACCGAAAAAGCGTTCTGTACCACAAAGTTATTTCAAGATTACAAAATACCCAAATGTAATCCGAGGGAGAACGGACTATACAAATGTTATCTTCCTTCAGGTTTGTTATCTCAGGATCAGCCATCCTGAAGCCAGTTTTGGAGGTTTGGCAGGGTGTTTATATTACCATAACATGACCAGAATTGCAGTGCCCACAGGCATTACAATAAAGAACATTTCTTTAAACCAATTCACAAAACAAAAGCGCCAAATCAAACACAAAAATGAAGCTTTCCTGATATTTGCGTGCTTTTCTCATTCCCTTTCTTTACCTTCTTTTATTTACATGATGGAACCATTATGATAATTAGGAATGAGATCGGGCAGCTCAAATTCAAGATACTCAAACCTGTCAATGGCCTTGTCTATGAAAACAAACCTATTTCACAAGACCAAACACAAGACTTGTTGAAAGTAGCCAGGCTTTTAGGAACAATTTAACCAAGAATTATGGACAATACAAGGACCACGGACATGCACAGAAAAAATAAGTAAAAAGAAATGAAGAAGAGTCATGGACTTTCTCCAAACCACTTTCTAACCTTGCTAGTGAGCAATCAAAGAGTAAGACATTTATCAGCTCTAACCCTCTGCCTCCATTAAAATCCACACCTTTAACTTCCTTAAAGCAGAGGAGCATCTTCTGGATGAGGCATTAACCCTCTTAAGAATATCCAACTAAGTCTTTCATCAGATACCAACACAATGGGTCGTTTTGCCACATTTTCCACCCCACCTTTCCAAACTGCCCAATACCCATTTTGATGGTAAAAGGCTTTACAAAGGTAACAAAGACAGATATTTCAGGCTACAGTCTTGGACCAGTTTATGGGGGAAAATAAACTGTAAGAAGACAAGAGGCTGAACTTAAGTTTTAACAATTCAAAAATAAAATCCCAAACGTGTAGCAGCAGGCGAAAAAAAAAAAAAATCCAATGCCAGGAGTCATTTGTTAACTGGAGTCCTGAGGTGGGTTACCTACTGACCCTCGAACATAGACTAACCGTGGCCCAGTTCCGTCTGGGCGTAGGTGCCAATTATCTCGAGTCGTTGGGAGGAGAGCAGCCATTTCTCTTGCTGAGCAGTGGTGCCCTGATTCAGCAAGGTGGGAATAAACATGGAGTAATTGAGGCCCACGGGTTCCACAAAATTGACCAAATGCAGTCTATGGGAGAGAAAAGAAAAGGAGCTCAGCCTCACTCTGGGAACTGCACTCGCCACCTGTCTTGCCAGACAGCCTTGGCCCTCAGGGAGAAGGTCAGGAAAGTTTAACCCTTCTTCTTATGAAACGAGGAGTGATAGTTACCATTTACAACCTAAAAAAAAAAAAACAACAAACAACAACAAACCAACAGCAGAAGCTAGCCGTGTCTCTTCTCCCCCTAATCATTTCAGGGTCAGAATTCTGAGTTTTATACATAATCCAGGAAGCAAGTTCTACCCATGTTTTAGCCTCAAACCTCTCTTATTATTTTGTTGATGTTATTTGTTGGTTTGATTTTTGGGGTAGTGTGTTTGTTTGTGCTTTATTTTCAGGTTTTACTTGTTTTGAAAAGCAAAAGAAACTCTATGGAACACTTATCTGTTGAGCTATTAACAAAACATCCTAAAGAAGAATAATTTAAACTATCTTTCCCTAGTAACTGAAGCAAATGTCCAGGGTGGTACATATACACCCCGGGGTCATAGCACAATCTCTGTAGGTCTTCAGAGCTTAGAGATGGGTAAGTAGGTAATACTAGCGTGTTAAAAATCTATCAGAAATGATCTTTGAACATTATTGCAGATTAAGGGACCTCTAATCATAATGAAATTCAGTCTTCAACTGTTTCCTCATAGAGTTTGTGAAATAGTCAAAATATGCGTTATAGACACTACTCAGCCTTGGCTACGCTGTGTTATAGCTTTTATAAGGGTCCATTTTTTCCTGTCTATATAAAGAGTTTAAGGTACAAAATAAGTGTTATGTAACTGACCTTCATGACTTTTCAAGGAGAGGGTAGGAAGCACCAGTTTATCCTGACCTACACAACAAAAAGACCATGAATTAAGGGCAACAGGGTGTAGGCTGCAGTGCTCTTCTGGGGAGGCCCTGAAACCAACCCACCTTTCAAGGGTACTGGGGACAGATTCAAACCTCTGAGGATTGCCTGGACTAGCTACCATCAAAAATGCTTTTTAACCCTGAGGGTCTATGATTTTTACACCAATATCAAATGTTAATTTTAACTGAACAGAGAGAAGGCAAGGGCGGGGGGAGGCACAGCAACAGAAGTGGTGAGTTAGCTTCCAAGTAGCTCGGGCTGGCCGCCACTTCCTGCTGCTGCACTTCACAAAGCACACTCATCTCACTTAAGCGGGATAATGAGATAAATGTAGAGGCTGGTCTCTCAAGGGCACAGGCACCACAGCACTCCCCAACAGCCATGCTTTACTGAAACAGGAAATGAACCCACAAGTATTTCTGAGAAATAAAAGCAGTAATTCAGGTACTGAAAGTGGTGGCAAAATATGATACTCCCATTCCCTTGAGGGAACGGAGGAGGCTCTGGGTTTATATAATGATGGCACAAAATAATTAACTCTAGGAAGCTGAGAGGGAAAAATATGTGACACAAAATAAAGACTGTCAATTACTTATGTTCTTAATAAACATACTGAGTTCTTTTTTGAGGCCACCTGCAAGTCAACTCAAGAACAAAACATGAGAGGTTGCTTTTTAAGTTATGTTTAACCCCTCCTGAAGATGCTTTTCAGGGAACCAGCTTTAAAAACTTATTAAGGAGGATTGGTGGAGGGTATAGCTGAATGGTAAAACGCATGCTTAGCATGCATGAGGTCCTGGGTTCAATCCCCAGTACCTCCATTAAAAATAAATACGTACACAAATACATAAATAAATAAACCTAATTACCTCCTTCCCAAAATAAACTTTTTAATAAATAAAAAATAGAAAAAAGGATCAACAACAAAAAACAAAAACCTGACGATTAAAAAAACCATGACTGGTTCTCATTGGAATTTTAAATTACTTTTAAGAACATTTTATAGCTTCTTCATAGCAAACAGTGTAGTTAAAAGACAAAATTACAGGAGAGGAGATCAGAAAAACAACTTTTATGTTCCCCAGACAGCAAGGTCTTATTTTCTCGAGGAACAGAGAAAAGAGTTCTTCACTGCTCAAGTTGAGAAATCTCAAAGTACTTGACTAATATTTCAGTCAACTTCAAAAGAGTCTCATAAGTTTTACTTTGTGACAGGAGAAATGGATGTAAAAGAGATCAACAAATGCACAAAATCCCCAGAAAGAGAAATATTACTGTATTTCATGAATTCCAGCATCCCTCTCTCCCTCCCCGGCAATTTTAGCATTTAAGAAATCCGGTGCGTCTCACAATTAATGGTACAGCACTGTTAACGGTTAGTGATACATACAACTTGGGTGTGAGTGACAATGGATGGCGTTCAGTAACTGCCAAGACTAAGGGTCAAGCACCTTCTCTAACATAAGTGGGTATCCCTGTCATATCCCAGAAATACTGGAAGGATGTCAAAGGGTGTGCCAAGGTCTGTACTTTGTATTTCTCAAACAGCAAGGTCTGTGTCATAAAAAATGACACACAAAACAGCTGGTTGGTGTCCACTGATCTTTAACTCACAGCAAGGACTTTGTTTTAATTCACTGTGACTTCGCTAGAGTCACGTTACACAATACGAACCACCATAGATTATGAAATCTTCTAAGCAACTCAGAAACACTGCATCAGCCACTTAAAGGTAAAACAAGATACACCTCCTCTATGTATGTTCATGTATAACTGAAAAATTGTGTTCTACACTGGAAATTGACACAACATTGTAAAATGACTGTAACGCAATAAAAGAAAGTAAAAAACCCACAAAACCCCACACCTTCTCTTTCATGTTTTAAGGAAGAGTAAAATCACTAATTTTATAAAGTTCACAAACACAACTCAGGTCAATCAGAAACAGAATCCACTAGGAGTTACTCTACCTCAATATCCTCACAGCCCTGAGTTACAAACTTGAGAAAAAAAAAAAAGCATTCAGAAGTTAGTAAATATTCTGATTTGGGCTACTAAAAATAAATCCCATTTTTACAAGTAAAATGGAAAGGAATTCTGAGTGTGGTCCTAAGGGTCAGAGTAAATCATTTCCTCTTGACAGTAATAACCTGCTTAAATTGAAAATAGATACCAAATGTCTTAGAGACAGTAGAGTAGTAAAAGGGAGCAATGACTATTGCTACATAAATGCAGAACTTGTAACATGTTTCATTTTTTAATGGCTCTTTAATATACACCATTCATATTATTTATTCTTGTTTGTGTTTGTTGGTTTTTGTTTTTTTTTGCAGGAGGGTATTCGGTTTATTTATTTATTTATTTAATTTTAATGGAGGTAGTAGGGATTGAACCCAGGACCGCATGCAAGCTAGGTATGTACTCTACCATTGAGTTACACCCTCCCCCCTCATTTACTCTTTATTGATGGAAATATTGGAATTTTTCTAAAACGTAGACACCTAAAACAGGAAATGTCCAGGAAAAAATGAGAAGCCTAAGGTATGCTAGAGGCCAAAGGAAACTGAGTACTAAGATCACGTACTCTTACAGTGTTTATTTAGATAAAGGCAAAAAAAAATGTTTTACTTCTAATTAAAAAACAGAACAAAAAGCAGATGGTCTGAAAAAAGGACATACTCCTTTCAGCCGTAGGACTAAGGTATGTTTTTACGAGGTCTCACACACACATGAGAGCCTTTTAAACACTGTCACCAGATTCAACAATGCTGGGTTCTTAGAATACTTCACATTGATTCTGAGGTTTGAATAAAGTTCTTCTTCATTTACCCACATTTTCCATTATTTCAGACGCAAGATCTATATTACCATATGAAAATACAATCTGTTACTGCTCCAGAACACTTAAGTGTTTGGTTTTCGCAACGGAAAAAAATCCTTCCGAATTCAGGCAGGATTTGGCAGGCCTCCTTCTTACAAAGAGCAAAGTCATTCTGCATTTAAACCATTCAAAATTAAGACGTCTGGATCGAATCTGTATAATTCTGGAGAATGAAAATTACAGCATCTCCATTGAAAGCCTTCTACAAACGTCACTTAAGCCTTTAAAAAGCTTAAATGCAAAGGTAAACATTTTCCACATACACATAACTTTAAAATGGTGTAAAAACATGCCAATTTGAGTCTTCAAACACCAAACACGATGAAAAAGGCCACCACAGATTGCGGATTTAAAGTCTGGGCTTAGGCACTTGATCTAAGCTAAGGCATACCTACTTTTTAAACCACATGATTTCATCAGGGTCTGCGATGCCAAACTTCCTCATCTTCTCCACCGTGGTGGCGCTCTTCCTAACAGCCACTTCGTAACGCTGGCTACGAGTGAGGAAGTTCAAGTCTTCATGCTGGAAGTCTGGGTCTTTCAGAATCAGGTTCTCTAGAGGGGAGTTAAAGGGTATCAAAAGGAAGACAGAAATTCAGGGTTCCGTTACAGCTCCCTGGATCACAGCTGGTTTCAGTACTTTGGCACAGATTTCCCCTCTAGATGGGCGCGCCTCCCTTCCCGGCCGCAAGCCGCCCCTGGAAGCAGGGGTCCCATCTCCCCTAAAGCTGGGCCAGAGGCTGCGGCCTACGCCTCACAGGGCCCCCCGATTCCTCCCGGAGGGAGTCTCCAGCTTTGCTCAGGGAAGGAAGGAAGCCCGGCTCGCCGCCCTCACCAATCTCTCGGCGGCGCCGGGTGTTCTCGGGGCTGCCGTCCAGGACGTGCGTGAGCAGCTCCGGGTTGAAGCTGGCGGCGGCCCGCTCCTTCCGCAGGTCCTGGTTCATGGTGACGGCCAGCAGAAGCAGGGGAGACCGAGGAGGCGAAGACGGCGGCGGCTGCTGCAGCGACCACGACTGTCCACACCGCCAGCGCGAGCCGGGCCCTAAGAGCCACCCCAGGCCAGCGCGAGTCCCCGCCCCCGCTCGCCTCGGCCCGCCCCGGCCCAGCCCTTCTCCTTCACCGCGACCCCTCCACGCGTGATCGCCCGCGACCGAGGCGGAGGCGGCGCCGGTGGGGGTGCTGGGGTGGGAGAGTCGCCTGCTGTCGGCCAGGTGGCCGCCAGAGCAGCTCCCCGGGAAGGGGACCCCAAAAGAAGCTCAAGAAATTGCCTTGGGGGCAAAGCGAAGCGCTCCTGGTAACCCGCCCTCCCTCGTCACGTGACCACGCCAGGCGGAAAGAGGGAATTTAAGCCCCCGGACGCCGGGACAGGTTGGCCAGGGATTGGGAAGGGGCGGGACGAGGCTGGGGAGGACGGCGCCTGCGCCATGGACCCGCCCTCCCCGCCGCTTCCGGGTCCGCGCGCTAAGGCTTTCCTGGAAATGAGAGAGGTTAGGAGACTCGCGGGCTGGGGGTGGTGAACGTGTGGACCGCGCGGAGTTGCTAGGGGGCGGGCCGTAGGGTTTCCCGCAACCCTCGAAGATTGGAGAAAAAAAGAACGAAGACAAAGGTCACATGGCGAATGTCTCAGGCTATCTTTTGTTCAGATAATGGCATCTTTGCTGCCAGAGGCGTGGACTGCGGGGACCTGGGTGTGGGATTGTGTGTGCGCCTGCCTGTTAATGGAGTGGGTGTGTACTTTGAGGTGGACCTGAGTGTGTTCAGGGGTCTTGGAATCCAGACTTTCTTGTTTTCACAATTATCGTCGTCTTCAAAGTAGTAAAAGAACACTTGAAAAAACACCTGGTATAGGAAGGTTTGTAGTGAAAAGAAAAAGTTCCCCATCCTCAGAGGCAGCCGATTTTAACCATCTGTGTTTTTAGTTTTGATTACTAAAAAAATTGCTAAGTGAAATACTTACATGCTGTTTCTTTTTTTTTTCTTACATGCTGTTTCTTGATTTGCCCATTTTAGTTACCTTTTGACTTCATGCCATGGTAATGAAGATATGGCATACTACACGTCTCCTTTATCTCTCATTTTCCTTTGTAACTTTAAACAACATACAAATCCTGTTTTTTAAAAAACTACACATAGTAGTCAGTTTCCTATTGCATCAATTTTTAGTAACACAGACACAATAAAAGGAGCGCCAAAAACTAATCAAGATTATTATTTTAATAAAACATTTAAAAAATCAAAATGCAGGAAAATCCACGATGAATAAAATACCAAAATTTTAAATAGAGACAGGATCATTATTACTGATTGTTCCTTTTGTCTCAGGCTCCAGTGTACCAGGGCAAGTCACTGGTTAACTGATGCTTTTTCTAATTCCCTCAGGCATTAAACTGTTTAGCAGCTATGTATTCCTCTTGTTAAAAGCTGGCTCTCCAGGTATCACTAGCATTCTGTTGATAAAACAAATTTGAGTTGATTGCCTATACAGGTAAGGGTGACTACTACTTGGCAAAGCTTTGGCCATGCCTCAGAATTAAGGCTAGAATTTGTTGAGAATATTAAGTTCTATTTAAGATGGTTCTTTCAGTTCAGGGTTTGTTTAGGATTGGGTACAAACCATTGCACAACAGTCAAATTGGTGGAAGCAGTAAGGCAAGGGAATTCAGATAATCTCAGTGAGCAGACTGGCTGTTGATGTTCAAACCATTTGCCTGGACTGGATCAGGAAGAGTAAAAAATGTTAATGAAGACATAGCATCACAGAGTCAAGTTAATGTGGGCAATAAGATGTGGTTTGGGTTCTGTTTGTCCAGGCTGAGTGTGGGGGTAGATGGTTTGGGTTTTCACTCTCTTCTTCATGAATATATTCATCCATTCAATAAATAATAATATTCCTAAAAACAAAAAAGGAGGCTGAAGCTATAGGTCAGTGGTAGAGTGTCTGCTTACCATGCATGAGGTCCTGGGTTTGATCCCCAGTACCTCCATTAAATAAAAATAAATAAGTAAATACACCTAATTACCCCCTCCCCAACTGCCCAAAACCTCTTCTTGTGCCTGTTTCCTCTCCCTCCCAAAGACCCACCTAAATGGACAAAGAGAAGAGGAAGTCAGAAATGATCAAATTAAGGAGATTTAACATTAATACAATACTATTACCTAATCTACAAACCTTTTTGTGGACTTACTATTGTCCAATAAAATCCTTTATCATAATTTTTTCTCCCAACCAAGATCCAATCCAGGATCAGGAATTCTGTTTAGTTATGTTAGTTTGCTAGAACTGCCATGACAGAGCATCACAGAGTGGGTGTCTTAAACAACAGAAGTCTGTTGTCTCTTAGTTCTGGAGGCCAGAAGTCCAAGGTCAAGGTATGAACAGGGTTAGTTCCTTCCAGGGCTGTGGGTGAGTGAGAATCTGCTCCATGCTTCTCTCTTAGCTTCTGATAGTTTTCTGGCAATCTTTGGTGTTCCTTGGCTTGTATGCATGTCACCCTAATCTTTGCCTTCATCTTCACCTGGCCTTCTCCATGTGTGCATGTCTGTCTGTCCAAACGTTCCCGTTTTCATAAGGACACTAATCATATTGGATTAGGGTCCACCCTAATGACCTCATTTAACTTAGTTACCTCTTCAAAGATCCTATCTCTAGATAAAGTTACATTCTGAGGTCCTGGGGGTTAGGACTTAAATGTATCTTTTTTAGAGGGGACACAATTCCACCCATAACAGTTGTTCTATCACTTGAGCCTCATTTAACTGGGGCAATTTCTTCATCTTCTGTAACTTTGATACTTTTAGAGTATACAAAGCAGTTGTTTTGTAGACTGTCCCTCAATTCAGATTTGTCTGATATTTCTTCGTAATTAGATTCAGATTATGCACTTTTTACAGGAATATCACAGAGAAAAATGTATCCTCAGTGCATCACATCCAGGAGGTACATGAAGGCTGTATTTGCTAATTTTCTTCACTGTGAAGTGGACCATTTTTCTCCTTTGTAATTAATAAGTAATCTGGGGGGAGATAGTGTTGAGACCATGTAAATATCATGTTCTTCATCAAGTTTTACCCAAGACTTTCAGCATCCATTGATAATTCTTCCCTGAATTCATTTTTCCTCTGGTGATTACAAAACTTCTAAAGGCATCGTAAAATAACCATTTTATCTGGTTACTGTAAAATTCATTTTGTTGAAATTACATTTAAAATTTGTAATAATTCCCATGTGATAGGATCTTTTGAAGCTATAGTTCAAATCTTGGGGAATAACTTGAGTTTTCATGTTGAAGATCCATTGTGTAATCTAGACTACACTACAGCTATGTAACTTTAAAAACACTAATTAATGTTTAATGGGTTGGTGACTGTGCAGAGGTGCTGGGAGAGTGGGGCATGGAAGTTACAAACCAAGTATTACTTGTCTGAGTTTTCGATCCTGCTAGAGAAATCTTGGCAGTTGCTTCAGAAAAAAATGAAAGAAGCAATCAAGATTGGTTCACCATTCTTGCTGGACAGTATTTTCACTCATCCCAGTTGTTAAAAAAGAGAATATATCTCTTGTTTCCTGTCATGGATTTTTCTCCCAGAAGTGGATATTTCACCTTGTGGAATGAAAGGGCAAGGCTCGAACAAAGTACAGGTCGTAGAATTACTCAGACTTTATAAAGAGAGTATCTGAAATCCAGTTGAGTCACAAGAGAAGCCTAATCCTAGTATAATCTTCTCAGAATCGAATGGGTAGTAATATATGGATAATGGTTTATGGTGTCAGCTATACTTATTTATCTGAATTTTTTTTAGGGGGGAGGTAATTAGGTTTATTTACTTATTTATTTATTTTTAATGGAGGTACTAAGGATTGAACCCAGGACCTCATGCATGCTAAGCACGCACTCTGCAACTGAGCTATACCCTCTCCCCAGTTATGCTTATTCAAATTAACAGAACTGTCTTAATAAACACATAGCAATTTTTGTTTGCAGAAGAAATTGAGGTTAAAATTTACAAGAGTATACCTCTGCCGAACAGTCAACGCTACTGCGTGGTACTTTAAAAAAATAAAAATAAGTTTAATGACATACTTACTTATAGCTTAACTTATATGTGGTACTTAAGAGTAGAAAAATTACTGTAAAAAAGATTCTAAAGTTTCAGTGGTTTGCTGGATTGGATGGGATTGTCCCAGTTAGCCAAAACCGCAACCACTACATTTTTTTCTTCTCTTGGCTGTTTTTTGGGGTTTTATTTTGTTTTTTGCTTCCCTCTCATGCCAGAGATGATCAGGGGGCTCTCTTCTGGTGACCAGATGGCTCTGCTCCTGGTTGCAGCAATGAGGGACCTCTGCACTCAGAGGAAGAGGACTGGGCTTTGGCCAGTTGCTTCTGCACTGCACTGGCCAAACTAGTTCTGGGCACGCTATAGTGAAATGAACAGCCCAGCCCAGTGACCTCTTCATTAGGGGATATTGCAAACAATTGTGCAAGATTCTAGGTTACATTAAACTTGTGGACTTGAGCTGTGTCATTTGGTTTCTGTGAGGATCTTACTTAAGGTTATTTAATTACCGTTTTCTTTGTTCATATCACCACTTGCTTGTCCTACCCAGAAATAGTTGAAGTCCTTCAACCAGAATCACCTTCCGGATTCCTTTGTCTTTGAACAATTATTCCTGCATCTCCAGTGCTCTAACATTTTCCACACATGGCTCCTCTTGTTCTGGCATGTTCTTTCTCACACATGCGTGCACACAAAGCTACATATTATGTGTACACACCTGCTCCTTATTTTTTCCCCCGATAGTATACCTTAGAGCTCTTGTCCTATAAGTACCTTTAATGCCTCATCTTCTTAAAAAGCCCGCTGAATGTTCCATTGCATTGTTATTACATTTAACTTACTTAACCAGTCTATTTTTCTTTTTTTTTAATAATTAACATAAACATATCACCACAGTCTAACTGTGGAAAGACATCAGACAAACCCAAACTGAAGGTCATTCTGCAAAATACTTGAGCAATATACCTCAAAGCTGTCAAGGTCATCAAAAAACATGGGAAGTCTGAGAAACTGTCACAGCCAGAGGAGCTTAAGGAGACATGATAAGTAAATGTAATTTGGAATCCTGGAGAAGATCCTGGAGCAGAAAGGGAACGTCAGGGGAAAACCGATGAAGTCCAAATCAAGTATGGAGTTCAGTTAAAATAACATATTGATACAGGTTTATTAATTGTAACAAATGTAAGATATTAATTATAAGGAAAACTGGGTGTGATGTATATAGGAATCCTCTGTACTATCTTTATAGTTTTTTTTAATATATTCAAACTATTCTAAAATAAAAAGTTTATTTTAAAAAACATGAAGACTCCCTTAATGTACAACTATGAAAGAGTGTCAAATATAGTAAATGAAAAAAATAAGAATAATATGTATACTATAGAGGGAAAATTAATATATACTCCTGTTTGGTTTTATTTGCAATATGAAAGAATAAACAGAAATTTGTGAAAATGATTTCCTCTTGGGCGGGAGTTGGCAAACATTAGGCCAATCCAGCTCATTACTTGTTTTTGTAAATGAAGTCTGAAGGAAATAAGGTATGCTCATCCGGTACGTATTGTTTGTGAGAGTTTTCCTCCTATGATGGCAAAGCCAAGTGGTCGTGACAGAGATCCTATGTTACTGTCTGCCTTTTTACGGACCCCTGCTTTAAGGGATCAGGAAGGGAATGGGGGGGTGGGAAGGGATAAATTTGGGAGTTTGAAATTTAAAAATGTTAGCCCTTATATATAAAATAGATTTTAAAAAAGTTTTTTTCTGTATAGTACAGGGAACTATGTTCAGTACCTTGTAATAAACTTTAATGAAAAAATATGAAAACAAATATATGTATGTATATACATGACTGGGACATTGTGCTCTACACCAGAAATTGACACATTGTAATTGACTGTACTTCAATTAAAAAAAAAAAAGGAAGGGAATGGGCTACATGGGAATTGGAGTGGGAACAGTGCATCTCCACATAGATCTTTAGTATATTGTTTTGTTCTTTAAAAGATGTGAATGCATAATCTATCAAAAAAATCTACAAAAATTTTAAAACACCACCCCTGGGACTAGCTTTTCAGATGTTGCTGGTCTCGGGCGTCTGTTAATCTCCATCTGGTGGTTAGCTTGGTTTGTCAGGGCTCTTCAAAAATCCGTCTCAACTCTCCATCTCAACCTGGTTACAGGAGCAACGATGCTACCCAAACCTGGGATCTATTACCTCCCCTGGGAGGTCAGTACCGGCCAAGTTCCTGATGGGGACACTCTGAGAACGTACGGCAGGTGAGAATGGTTGTTTTCTCACATGGTAGGGGGGTGTTTAAAAAATTAAAATAATCTTTTTAAAAATTGAAATATTTTAAAAATTTATTTTTAAAACTTATATTTTAATTTTGGGGTGTGGGAGGAGGTAATTAGGCTTGTTTATTTATTTATTCTTAGAGGAAGTACTGGGGATTGAACCCAGAACTTCATGCATGCTAAGCATGTACTCTACCGCTTGAGCTATGCCCTCCCCCTGTTTTAATTTATTTTTAAAATTATTTAAATTTTTTATATTTTAATTTTATTTCATTTAACTAATTTATTTTTTTTCATATTTTTGTAGGGGAGGTAATTAGGTTATTCATTTTTTTAATGGAGGTATTGGGGATTGAACCTAGTACCTCAGGGATGCTCAGCATACACTCTACTGCTGAGCTACACCTTCACCTTCTATTTTATTTTAAGTTTATTATGTTTTATATATATTTTTAATTATTTAAAATTTTAAGTCTTACTATAATTTTATCTAATTATTTTGAAATGCTAAAAAATTAATATGTATTCATTGTAAAAACTGTAGGTAATCCATAAGGGTGTAAAGAAATCAAGAAAAAAGTCACCTACAATCCCACTGTCTGGACAACCACCCACTGCTAACCTTTTGGTGATTATACACTTTCTCATGTGTGCGTGTATGTATATATGTATATGTGGGTGGGTGTATATACACACAATATATGTATATACATATATACTGTGTTAGTCACCTATTGCTGTGTAACAAGTCACCTCAAAATTTAGCGTCTTAAAATGATAATAAATGCTTATTTTTTCATACTCACTGTGGCTCAGAATTTGAGAGTGGCTTAGCTGGGTGGCCCTGGCTCAGATTCACTTTTAAGATTGCAGTCAAGATGTTGGCCAGGGCTGCCAACATCTGAAGGCAGGCCTGGGCCTGGAGGGTCTGATTCTAAGGTCACTCGTTCACATGTTTCGCAGTTTTTGCTGCCTGCTGTCAAGAAGGCTCAGTTCCTCACAACGCAGATTTTTCTACACGGCTGCTTGAGGGTCTTCATAACACAGCAGCTGGCTTTCCTCAGAACGAGTGATTGAACAGAGAGAGCAGAGAGAAAGCCACAATGTCAATGACCTAACCTCTAGGAAGTTACATTTCTGCAATGTTCTGTTGGTTACACAGGTCACTGCTGGTCCAGGTGACAGGGGGACTACACAAGAATGTGAATACCAGGGGGATAAGCATCACTGGGACCATCTTAGAGTCACACACACACACACACACACACATATACACGTACATATAGAAATACTGTAACCTAGCTAAGATCCTATTATGGTACCATTTAAGTGTGTACAGTAGACCTAGTTCCAGGCCAAATATGTAGATCAGTATCATCACTTTAAATAGATCCACTTTATTTCATCGCGTGTAGATATACCATCATTTAACCACAGTCTTTTTCTTTTTTTTCCTTTTTCTTTTTCACATGGAACTACTGAGAATCAAACCAAGTACCTTGTGCATGCTCAGTGTGCGCTCCACCAACTGAGCTATACCCCCCACCCCAACCACAGTCTTTTTATTTAACCCAAATATATTAATTTTCAGCAGACATCAGTATAATTGAGTGGGGCAAAGACAGTCATTTCAACAAATGGTGCGGGAACTACTGAATATTCTTACGGGGGTGAAAAAAAACCTTGATCCCCACCCCACAGCACATAGACACAAAAATCATTTGAACTGGATTATAGATGTACAAGCTAAAACTATAAAATGTTCAAAAGAAAACACGAGAAAATCTTCACAACCTTGAGGTAGGCAAAGATTTCTTAGACTCAGAAAGCAAAAACCATGAAAGAAAAATAATGAATAAAGTGGACTTCAACAAAATTAAAAGCTTTTCATGAAAAGTTACCATTAAGAAAATTAAAAGGCAGGGCTGAGGGTATAGCTCAGTGGTAGAGTGTCTGCTTAGCATGCATGAAGTCCTGGGTTTGATCCCCAGTACCTCCATTAAAAATAAACAAATAAGTAAATAAACCTAATTATGTACCCTCCTCAAAAAAACCCAAAAAAATAAAAATTAAAAAAAAATGATTAAGAGGCAAGCCACAAACTGGGAGGAAATAAGTGTGTGTGTATTATATGTTATGTACATTCAACAAATAATTTGTATCTAGAATATACAAATGACTCATACAACTCAATAATAGGAAAACAAAGAACTTAATTTTAAAGTGGGGGAGGATATAGCTCAAACACTAGAGCACATGCTTAGCATGCACAAGGTTCTGGGCTCAATCCCCAGCACCACCTCTAAAAGTAAATAAACAAGCCTAATTACCCTGCCTCCCCAAAATTAAAATGGGTAAAAGATTTGAACACACAGAAACACACAATATTTGAACAGACACAGCCCAAGAAGATACACAGATGGCAGATAAGCACATGAAATTTTTTTCAACATGATGAGTCATTAGGGAAATACAAATTAAAACCACAATGATTGAGTATTTCGTGCCCACTATGGTGGCTAAAATTAAAAAGACTGACCATATCAAGTGCCGAGAACGGTGTGGAATAACTAGAACCCCTCATACGTTACTTACTGGTAGGAAAGTAAAACGGCACAACCACTTTGAAGAGCAATTTGGCGGTTTCCTTTAAACAGACAGATTGACCATATGACCCAGATATTCCACTTGGGTATTCACCCAAGAGAAATGAATACACTTGTATGTTAAAGTTCATACCTGTTTATTCATAATGACATCTGGAAGCAGACCAGATCAGCTGGTGAGTGGATAATGATAATTTGTTTATCCATTCAACAGAGTGCTACTGAGCAACAAAAAGGAACAAACTACTGATTTACCCAACAACATAAATGGGTCCTAAAAACCTTTATGTGGAATGAAATAAGATAGACACAGAAAAATATGTGCTGTTATGATTCTACTTATATGAGGTGCTTGAGTAGGAAAACTCATCTATGGAGACCAAAGGCAGATCAGTGGTTGCCTAGGGTGGGCGATGGGCAGACTGAGTTCAAAGGGGCACAAGGGAACCTTCGGGGTGATGGAAATGTACCAAAGCTTGACTGCTGTGTGGTTGCACGGCATGTACTTTCATCAGCACTCATTGAACAGGTGCCTTTTAATGCGTGTGATTTATATCTCAGTTATGTAGACTGAGAAAAAACATTTTCTGTTGCTACCATTTAAATTTCTCTGGTTCAAGTGAGGGTGCACATTTTCCTATGGAGTTACTGGCCTCGCAGAGCCTTTTGAACTTTGTGGTGGCTCTGTTTGCAGATAAACATGATCCCATCTTCCCTGGCCTCCAGGTTGCACAGCTATGACATGACCCAGTCCCGAGTGACCCTTACGGCTCAGCACGGATCTGACCAGCACCGGATCCTCGTCTGTACCAAGTTGGTGGAACCATTCCAAGCCCAGATGGGCTCTCTCTACACTGTCCTTGGGGAGCTTGAGCACCAGAGGGGTAAGTCTTGGCCTCACACACCCTTTTTCACTCTGGGTCCTCAGTGGGGCAGTCTTTCGGGTGCCTGGGCCTGGCTTCTGACCCAGCAGGAGTCCCTCTTTGGGGTTCACATTTTTTCCACGTCAGCCCCCGATTTCAGGGACTCATGGAAAACACATGATTGCACTCACAGCAGATCTGGCACAGGGAAGCGAGAAAGGGGAGAGAGAAATCACTAATTCCTAAAGGTCTGCACCATGCCAGGCCTGGTCCTCGGTCTCTTTGAATCTGGTCACCAGCCCTTAACCTGAGTTGTCTTAGGGCTATTTCATAGATGAGAAAACCAAGGCTCAGAGAGGATGGGGCTGGAATAACAAGCCAGGAAGTTAGGTTAAGAGATATGAAACACAAGGGAAGGAACCAAAGCAACCTGGGAGAATCTCTGTGGCATCAAAGGTTGAAGATTGCTCTTTAAAACCTAGGTAGTCTGGAAAACCAAACAAAAAACCAAAAACAAACACAAACCTAGGTTGTCTGATCCTTTGCCCTCCCTCTCTGGCCATCTCTGTGCCATTGTCCTTCACACGGCTGATGCCATACTATACAGTGTTGTATCTGGTTATTTTGGTTTAACATTATGTAATGTGATACATACATACATATAGTGTAAGCATTTCCCTGTGTCTTTAAATTTTTCTAGACACAGTATTTAATGGCTCTATAATATTTTATAGATTAGATGTGTACCCTAATTCACACAACCATTAGATGCTTGTATTTCTCCCGTCTTTTGCTCTTACAAGTACACTGTACAGTTATTGGTTAAAGAAACCATGGGATATTCAGTCAGGAGAATATAATACAGCCATTAAAAATGTTATAAATGTATATCGATTGACATGAAAAGATGTTCACAGCGTCTTACTAAAGAAAAAGCAATGTACAAAACTGTGTTTCACATGATCTCATTTTTGGTTAAGTAAACATTTTTATATGCATAACATTTTGAAATATTATTTACCAAAATGTTAATAATAATTATTTCTGGGTGATGGGATTGTGAGATTCCATATACTTTTATTAGCATTTTACATTGAAAACTTATTGCTTTATAGCCAGAGGGGGAAAAAAGTTTAAAAATACCTATCTGTCTAGATACATATTAAAAATGGGTGGTGGCAGAGTGTGTGCTTAGCATGCCCTGAGGTCCTGGGTTCAATCCCCAGTACCTCCATAAAAAAAGAAAGATTAAAAAAAAATTAACATGCTGCAGTTAATAGCCTCATGTACTAATCTTTGTCCATTTTCTGATTATTTCTTTAAAGTAGTTTCCTAAAAGTAGAATTACTGCATTAAAGGATAAGAATATTTATGTTTCCTGATTTACACTACCAACCTACTTTCAGTGGCAGTGAATTTTAACTCTAGATGAAAGGCACTAGGAAAAAGTAATTAAATGGGGCTTATTTTAATTATATCTGATTTAATAAAAGTTAATCTTTATTCAGGCTTAAGCCTTTGAGCTCAAAGTTCCTGCCCTCATAATCTATTTGAGAGAGGTATGGGGCGGACTGGTGCAAACAGGTACAAAGGGCCTATGAAGAAATGATTTCCACTGTGACTGCAGCCCAGATCACCTGATGCTCTGTCCCACACTCCTGCCGCCACAGTGAGTCCTGGAGGCTCTCAGGCACCGACTGCCCAGCATCTGGAACTCAAAGGCCTGATTACAGATGCAGATAAGGGTTGAAACTAAGATGGGACAGTGGGCCAAGACCAGGGCAGGACCCGGAGTGGACATTTAGAATTATTTATGGGAAAAAAAATGGAAAAAACTTAAGTATAAATTCAGCACATACAGTTTTTTTAATTTAATGTTTTCAGATCAAACATGCATATACATGGAATGGTGGATTGACCCACCACGTACTCACCACCTGGATTCTGCATGACCCACATTCCCCAGTTCTGTGTCATCACTGCCCACATTTACTTACTTACTTTGCTGGTGTACGTTAGAGCAAATCTGATGTTTCATTTACCCATAAATACCTCAATATGTATCTCTAATGATACCACAATCATGGCCAACAAAATTAATAGCTGTTCTTTAATATAATCTAATACGTACCTTGTACGTGTTCATGCTCCCCTTACCCCCCAAATGGCTTTTTACAATTTTGGTTCATTTAAAAGCAAGAGGAGAGGGCATAGCTGAGTGGTAGAGTGTGCTTAGCATGCATGAGGTTCTGGGTTCAATCCCCAGGACCTCCATTAAAATAAACCTAACTACCTCCCTCCTCAAAAAAAAAGCAAGATGCAAAAAAATGTCCATACACTGCATTTGAGTTACACATCCCAATAACAGTTCTGGCTTCCTTTTTTCCTTTGTTTTTTTAAATGCCATTTATTGGAGAACTTGGGTCCGGAATTAGCTGACTGCTTCCTCCTGGTGCATTAAACGTGCTCCTTCCCTTGAGTTTATCCTGCCTTTTTTCTGAATGGATTGTATTTCGGGGACACCAAATGGTTGGACGAGGGCAGGTTCTTTAGAGGAGAATCCCAGTGAATAAACGCAGGAGAAATGATTGCACTCCAAAGTTACCACTTTAAAAGCCCTGAGGAAATAATAAATCCAGGCAAACGATCATTATCGCCGGTTGCTAAAACCACTAGGTGGAAGCTCCCCGGGAATGTTGCGTTGTGGGGACCAGGCCTGCCCCACCCGATGGACCAAACGTTACAAAAAGCTGACCGATCGACCACGTCCCTCTGCTGTGAGGCAGGGGGAAGGCACAGACAGTACCGCTCTGAAGTACTCTTGCCCACCTCGCAAAAAAAAACTGCACTCAATAATCAAGCCTCAGATCAGCAGCATTCTTCCTAGGCTCTGGTTAGTTTACTGCTACTCAATATTGTCATCACATTCTATATTTTTTTTCTATCTTAAAAATTTTTCCCATCAAGTTTCTAATCTGTAAAAAAATACATGCAGATCATTTGCAGCCGACAGGAGGAAGGAAAGACCATGATGAGGAGGGAGGGCAGTGTGCGGGCTGAGCTTGCAAGTGGCCTCTGACCTCCAGCCTGGGGTGGCATGTCTGGTCCCCGGACAGGCCCAAAGTCCTGTGGAGACACAAAGGGCACGGATCCTGTCCTGTGGCAAGGTTGGCAGTTCTGGACCGACAAACCGCAACTCATCATGCTGAAATTTTTGCACACAAAGGAGAAAAAATGCCAGCCATGTGCTCAAACTGCTAGCTGGCTGGGACACCAAGCAGAGGACTGAGGGCGTTCTGTCCACGATTAAGGTGGATTAAGGTGAAGGTGACAGGGACACAGCCTCTCTCCAGCTCTGCCCCGGGGTCCTGCATGGAATCCCAGGCTGTAGGTTACTCGCCTACAGCAAGAGGCTGCCTCTGAGCACTCACCATAAATCCCACCTCTTGTGGTTTTCGTCCACCTGACTGCTGTTTTGTGTCCTTTTGAACCTTTGCTCCTGCATCCTCAAGCCACCTTCCTGTGAGACTTGCCTGTAACCTGGACCCCCACACCCCAAGTGGTTCCCCTCCCACCCTCCCACGTGGTGCCTCCCAAGCCCTGCAGATCACAGAAACCAGACGTGGTGCCAGAATCCTACCTGCTCTGCAAGTTTGTCACTGCACTCCTCCATCTTCTGCAGCGACCGGTTCTGCCATCGGGCACCCCTGCTCCAGTGCTGCTTCCCACACCCAAAGCTGTCCCAATCCTGCCACCTGAAACCAGGCGGTTCCACCCTCAGTATCTTTCTGCCCTCTGCCTCGTCACCCACACTTTGAACTCTGCCGTTTTCTCCCACCTTCTCTCCCCTCCAGCTGGACCTCACTATCGGTTCAACCACTTTCCTGACAGGAGTTCCGGCCCCTTGCCTTCCATCCCTCCTCCCTGATGAAATCTCAACTTCCACCCTCAGGTCCCAGCCGCCTTTTGATGGAGAAAGTTCACAGAGCTCCGGGGATCCCTAGCACAGTGGTTTCGAGGTCTCTCATCGGAGCCCAACACGCTGCCTAGAAATCCTTCCACGTGTCCTGGCCAATCTCCCCTCCCCATCTCTCCTTCCCCGTCCGCAGCAGCTCTTTCAGGCATTCACCTGTCACCCAGGACTCCTCCATCACCACCTCCCCTGTCCTTTCCAGCAAATTACCTCACCTCATACATCCCAGGAGAAATTGAGGCCACAGCAGCAGTCCGTCCTCCTAAAATCAGTAACTCCTTTCCTCCAGTCTGGGAGGGAGGAAGGCCCCTTCTGCCTTGCCTGGGCCGCAGCCACTGTGCTGTGATGCACGCTGGCCCTCCTGCAGGGGCTTTGCTTTCTCAGCTGAATCCTTAACTTGTTGCCACCTGTTCATCCCTATTAGCATCTAAAGCACTCAGGCCTCTTCTCTATTAAAATAATAGTAACAATAATAAGGTCAGCTTCAGCTCTGTGTCCCTACCTAGCTATGACCCTCCTTCCTGTCACAGTCAAACTTCCTAAAAGAAGGTCTGTGCTCCGTTAACACCCCTTCCTTCTCTCCTTCTCACACGGCGACCCGCTGCCTTCTAACTGCTCTTATATCTGCCACTCCTCCTTTACTGCAAGTTCTTCATCTTTACAAGAAGAAATTCCCCGAAATGAAGATTTCTCTAGCTGCCGGGTTCAGAAGCTCCTTGCTCCCTCCCCTGCAGCATGTCTTCAGATGCTGTTCTTTTATTCCATTTACACAGACCTTTTGCAGTTGGACTAACAGAATTGCCCAGTTTGTCCTTCTGATCATCATATTTCTAAAGCTCACTTCCATCTTTAGAACTTTTTTTTTCCATTCACAGGGAGAAACGACACATTCCACACTCTGTATCTCGAAGGGAGGGTTTCCCCAGGCTGAGGGGTGGAAGGAGCTAACAGGTGTTCCTGTGAGGAAAGTTCTGTGAAATTAAGTCAAATAACTAAGAAAGTCATCATACAGGAACTTTGGAAATATTTGACCTACATGCGTACTTTGAGATTTTTAGCTGCGAACTCAAGCTCTCTGATTTGGTCCCTGCTCTCCCTGTGTCGTCGTGAACACGGGCAGCTGCTCTGTGAAAACTGTTCAGGGCCACATATGTCACAAGAAGAGGTCTGGGCCTTTCAGTGCCAAATAAAGTTTAGGCAACTTTGTGTTTCAGACTAGTTCATCTTCCTGTGTTGAAGGCTGGAATCTAGATAGTCCGACACTCTGAATTCTGCCCCCAGGCTGTGTTAAAGCAGTAAAGTGGCCTAGACCGGAGGGGAGGCGAGGCACAGACTTTAACCAGAGAGAACCTCTAACTCAAAACGGCATCAGAAGAAGACAGGGTAATGTCCTAGGACTCTGGACTCATTGACCTGCCCAGAGAGCAGAGAGTACATAGTGAAAACAAAAACAAAAGCAAACACACAAAACCCTATTAGGGCAAACCCCAGATATCTTTCCTGTTTGGTGTTACCTGAACATTGACTAACCTTTCCATCAGGTCACCCATCACCTGCTAGTGGCGTCCCCAGCCCCTTGTCTAGGGTGGGGTGACTTGCCCCTATAAAGCCAGACTATCCCCTTGGATTGATTAAAAGTAGAGTTCTCTTGGCCTCTATTTCCAATGCCCATGGGCCCCAGGATGCCAAGGGGCCCTTCCCTTGGTACAATTGGAGAACTAGGATGGTGACTGAGACTCCTCCTCAACTCTGGGCACTTGGGACCTACAGAGAAGTGGCAGGAATTAAGATGACAAAAGAGGGAAGGAAGTAGAGGCTATGTCTTTCTGGGCCTCCTCCCTGGAGAAGTGGAATTTTCAGGCTACCCCTTAAGTTCCAGGCATGTGCGATCCCGCAGTTCTGAGGCCCAAGTAGACAAATTGCCAGCATCCCCATAAACCATCCTTCTTAGCTGTGACCTGTCAGACTCTTCTGTGAAAACTCAAGACGGAGAACAGGTCGAGGGTAGACGCTGAGATGCGTCTGCAGGGTGTGTGGCTGACACTGCTAATGCCCTGGTGTCTTTGTCTTTCAGATGGAGGCTCCATGGTGAAGGCCCGGGTGCTGACTTGTGTGGAAGGAATGAATCTACCCTTGTTAGAACAAGCCATCCGGGAGCAGAGGATGTACCAGCAAGAGAGGGACAGCAGTCAGTAGAAAATGGCAACTTCTGGCAACCCCCACCCCTACCCCGGCCCCAGCACCTCCTACCTGCACTGGAGATGCCAGAGCTGCTGCAGAAGTCACAGGAAGTTCCCGGAGTGCCAGCCTTTGGAGCTGGAGAGAAGAGGGGTGGGTTGTTCATTGGAATTGTCCAAGAAATGAGACTCTAGAGATCACGCACCAGGACCTGACACCTATAGCCCCGCCGAGGCTGGGCCCTGGGGCGCTGGAGGCTGGGCCTCGCGTGGGCTTATGGAGGGTTCCAGAAGGTCCATGTGAATAAAGCCCTGGTGGTGTGACAGTGCAGCGTGTGCATGTGGTGCAGCGCCGGCAGGGGCCAGGAGGGGGAGCCTCAGAGCAGCGAGGGGCAGCCTGCCAGGCAGTGAGGCTGCAGGAGCGCAGGGCTTCTGGTGAATTCTGGGCTGGGGGCCTGAGGGGAAGGTTCTGGGGGTGCCCAAGCCCACATTGGGTGCCCAGGAGGCAGGGGGGTCCCTCCTGCTAAGGTTCTGCCCTCACAGGAGGCCGAGCGTCTCCAAACAGGCCGGGCCCAGCCCCTCGCCCTGGCCCTGCGGCCTAGGGTGGAACTATGGCTTCTCTAGAAGCCCTTTCCGACCCCTGACCTCTGCCCCGAGCTGACCCCAGCCCCCTGGGCAGCCCTTCTGGGCAGCCTTCCGCCCCCAAGGCCTGGGCCTGGCTGAGCAGAGGCGGGGGCTCAGCCATGGAAGTTTGGGCCCTCCTGCACTCCGTAGCCGGGCTCAGGGGCAGCTGCTTCCTGGGACCTGGGGTTCCTGCCTGGCCTGGGCTGGGTGAGGGGCAGCCGGCTCCCAGCCAGGTTCCCAGGGAGGGCTGGGGGCTGCAGCTGGGGTGGAGGGCGGGAGCCGGGGCTCGGCCTGGCGGGCAGAGCAGTGTGATGAGCCCTGGGGGCCACAGGAGCCTGGGGGGGCCTGGGTGTGGGCTGGGCGGGGGGGGTGCCATGGAGGCTGGGGGGGAAGCAGGGGTGCTGTGCATGGGGGCGAACGCCCCAGGCGGCATCTGTTTCCAGGGCAGCTCTGCGGACATGGATGTGTTCCAGAAGGTGGAGAAGATCGGAGAGGGCACCTATGGGGTGGTGTACAAGGCCAAGAACAAGGAGACAGGCCAGCTCGTGGCCCTCAAAAAGATCAGGCTGGATTTGTGAGTGCGGGGACGGCCTCTGAGACCCCCTCTCTCCCAGGGGGTACCCTCAGCCCTGGGAGCTCCCCTGTCCGTCCCTCCCCTCAGAGTTTTGCATTCAACTCCTTTTCCCAGTGCTGCCCAGTTACACGGGGGCGGCCACAGAGGGGCCACACATCCTCCCCTTGGCCAGGTTTTCCCCTTGGCCCCTGGGGGTGAGGAGCATGTGCCCAGAAGCACAGCACCCCGTCACTGGGGGGTGGGCCATCCTTACGGAATAAGGAACACAGTTGACACCCCGGGAGCAGAAGTGCCCTTCTCAGCTCCTGCCTCCATTTCTGTACCCTCCCCTCCCATAGGGAGACTGAGGGCGTCCCAAGCACCGCCATCAGGGAGATCTCCCTACTCAAAGAGCTTAAGCACCCCAACATTGTCAGGTGAGCTGGGGAAGAAGCAGGAAAGTGGGCCTGTCCCCGTCTGGCTGGGAGCCATGTCCTGACAGGCATTGCCCGGCCAGGCTGCTGGACGTGGTGCACAGTGAGAAGAAGCTTTACCTGGTGTTTGAGTTCCTCAGCCAGGACCTGAAGAAGTACATGGACTCCACCCCGGCCTCCGAGCTCCCCCTGCACTTAGTCAAGGTACGGGGCAAGGACGCGGAGCACCGGCAAGCCCCACCCGGCCAGCCGCACATCCGCTCAGCCGGCTCCTTTCCGTGCTCGTTGTTCCAGAGCTACCTCTTCCAGCTGCTGCAGGGGGTGAACTTCTGCCACTCCCATCGGGTCATCCACCGAGACCTGAAGCCCCAGAATCTGCTCATCAATGAGTTGGGTGCCATCAAGCTGGCTGACTTTGGACTGGCTCGAGCCTTCGGGGTGCCCCTACGCACCTACACCCACGAGGTACCGTGGGATGAAGGCAAGAGAAGGGATGTCACCCCGAGCACTCGGCTACCCTGAATGACGCTGTTTTCTTGCTTCCGCAGGTGGTGACACTCTGGTATCGTGCCCCCGAGATCCTCTTGGGCAGCAAATTCTATTCGACAGCTGTGGATGTCTGGAGCATTGGTTGCATCTTCGCAGAGATGGTAGAGAGAGGGACATTTGTGGCCACAGGGAGACCATGGGCAGGGTCCTCCTGGGGTGGGGTCAGGGGGCTCTGATTTTCCAATTAGATGTGGATTTGGGGGTGTTTGGGTCTGGCTGAAGGACTGAGGAAACAGGTCTTTTTCCAGGAAAGGCCAAGATTTTCAGCACAGCCCTGGGAAAGATATCTTGAAGCTGCCTCCCTGGTCTGGCCTCTTACCTGGTACTGGATTCTGGATGACGAGGGAGTAGCCCCCACACCTTCTCCCCTTCCCCATTCCAGGTGACCCGCAGAGCCCTGTTTCCTGGCGACTCTGAGATTGACCAGCTCTTTCGTATCTTTCGGACCCTGGGGACACCCAGTGAAGCCATATGGCCAGGAGTCACCCAGCTGCCTGACTACAAGGGCAGCTTCCCCAAGTGGACCAGGAAGGGGCTGGAGGAGATTGTGCCCAATCTGGAGCCAGAGGGCAAGGACCTGCTCACGGTAGGTACGGGTGGGCAGCAGGGGAGGGCAAGACAGGCCTCCCAGCACCAGCTGCTGCTGTCGCCAGAAGTGTCCCTTTTGTCATCTAGCCTCTTATGTAACCCTGGCTTCTTCTGAGTCCGAGCTGGTCTCTTTTCTGACCCCTGTACACAGTTGGCTTGTCCCTGTGTGTACTGATTGTTCCACCTGGAGGCCTCTCCCTAGATCAGTCCAATGTTCACCTTCCCTTTTAAAACTTCTCTCTTCTAGTTAGCTTTGTTTTTATGCTGTGATACGTGCCCTTTTTCTCAGCCACCTTGTGTTTGGTGATCTTCTCCTGTGGACATCATTACACCATCTAAGCTATAAGCTTTCCCAGGCAGGGTCCACACCACCCTCTGCCTCAGTGGTTATGCTTCACACATGGCTGTTCAGAGTATGCTGCTTCCTGATGCCTCGGCCCCTGCCACAGTCCTCACTCACCCTTCCTGTCGCCCAATCTTGACCCCTTGCCTGGCCCAGGTAGAGCCATCCTTTCTGTTCACTAAGACTTGGAGCATGTTTCTCTCTTTAGTCTCATGTTGGGTCAGAGGAAGGCACGGCAGTATGTTCATCTCCAGGCTGTGTGTCCAGCTCTCCAGAGGACTGTGTGTGTGTACACAGTGCCAGCAGGACAGTGTGGACTCCAACCGAGGCTACTCCAAGGCAGGGGGTCCTTCTCCAGCCTGGCTGGGGTTAGAGATTTTGAATTTCTGCCCCACCCTCGATATGCCCCCTGGACAGGTTTGGCTCCCTCTTCCTAATACCTAGAGAGAAGTCTGTCTCAACTGGAAGTAGGCTGGAGCCTGGGAACTTCCATTAGGAGGGGGAGAGACTGACTCAGCCTTAGTACTTACTAGCCTGAAGGAGACAGAGGTGACTCAACAGGGCTGGACCAAAGCAAAGTCCATGTCCTCAGATTCCCGGACTGTCCAGAACTGGCTCACAAACTGGGAGGCAGTGGCTTCCTGTGGTTCTGGGTCTGAAGGCAGCTGCTTTGGGGCTTGGGGCCCTCCCACTGAGACCTGGGAGGATAATTCCTCTTCCAGCCACACCCTGGCCCAACCTCCGCCTTCCTCCACAGCAACTCCTGCAGTACGACCCGAGCCGACGGATCTCAGCCAAGGCCGCCCTTGCCCATCCGTACTTCTCGTCCACCGAGACCTCCCCAGCCCCGCGCCAGTGTATGCTGGAGCGATTCTGCCGCTGAGGACGTTTGAGGCCCCCCTCCCCCGCCTCAAAGCCTCTCTCCAGCTGCTGCCCCACCCACCTCCCCACCCACTTCCCAAGAATGAGGACACACCTGGGGAGAGAGCAGTTGGGCATCAGCTGTCAGAGGGCTGAGTCTGGGTTCGTCCCGCCAGCAGGTTAGCGAGTTCCTGTGTGGTTTGTTGGGTTTGACCGTGCCAATTCAAGGTGAGGGCGCGGAAGCCCCGTGCGCGAGGGGCCCGTCAGCGGCCGGGTCTGCTGGCGCTGAAACAGCAGGTGCCAAGGCGAGCAGGAAGCCTGCCCGGGCGCCAGCAAGGCCCTCCTGGTGCCCTTCAGCTGCCCAGCCTTCAGCTGCAGAGCCAGACCCTGAGGGGGAGGGTTCCCCTGGCTGGTCTTCTGGATTTAAAATGTTTTGGGGAAGAGTTGAGTTCCAGTTAAGAGTCCCAAGTTAAGCAGGAAGCAGGGCTGGGGAGAGAGGACATTCTCCTGACCCTGGGAGAGGTCCGGTGTGTGGCTGTTCTAAGTAGTTGTTCTGTCACCTAGGATATGCTTACGTTTGTTTGCCTCTGGCTTTAAGAACAGAAAATAAAACTGATATATTTCTGAATTTTCTAGTGTTTCTCTGCTTATGGCGGAACACCAGGGACTTACTGACAAGGGGGAGGTGGACAGAGGGTTCTGGCCTGAACTGAGAGGCCCTGAGCCAGTGGCAGGGAGGGGCTGGTCCATGATCTTCTGTGACCAGCCCACACATCAGATCCCTCCCAGAGGCAGAGGAGCCACAGCCCTCTGAAAGCACCCCGTACCCAGTGGGGTCACGTGGGAGGGACCCAAGCAGTGCTGTCCTTTGTGCTCATGCATCAGACAAATCCATTCCATGTGACCAAGATGCCGGGAAAAATCTGTTTATTGGAAGCACTGGTTGGGGAGGAGGGAAGGAAACAGAGCTGCTGGTCTCCAGGTCAGGGGATGGGCTGGGCACCAAAGTTAGAGGAGGGAGCCCAATACTGAGAACATCTGAGGAGCAGAGCAGCGATCAGAGGGAAGACCCACCCCTCGGATTAGGCTGCTCTAGGGGCCAGGGGTGCATGCATCCTACCCTCCCCCCTCACACACACTCCCCATGACTGCTTGGCCCCTATCAGCGCAGGGAGCGCGGGACGGTGGGGGAGGCTGAGTGGTAGCAGCGGTACCCCTCCAGCGAGGCTGGGAGGAGCAACAGGCCGCTCAAGGGGTCTTTCCGGCAGCGCCCCATGGCCTCCTTGTAGCTCAACCGCTCCTTGGAGATGGGGTCTGTCAAATCCTTCTCATGGCTGGCCTCATCCTGCAGGAGCTGGGCCAGCTCTTCACTGATCATGCCGGAGACCACGGCCTGCTCAATGGGGATGCGGCCAGTCCTCTTGGGGTCAATGAGCCCTCCGGTCAGGTGCTGCACTTGCAGGTGTGGGAGCACGCTCTCCCGGGGCATCCAGCCCTTCTGGACTGCCTCGCCCACTGACAGCCTCTTCTTGGTGATAGGGTCCTCGATGCCAGTGAAGGCCTTCTGGGCGTTGAGCAGCCTCTGTGTTGAGCTGTTCTCGATCAGGCCCCTCTCCAAGGCCTTGTGCACGGAGTAGCGCTCCCGGCTGAGGAGGTCCACGATGCCCCCCGTGGCTGCCTGCGCCTCCAGCAGCTTCTGCCCGGTGATGGGATCCAGCATGTTCTTGGCCACAGCCATCTTGATAGTGCACTTGTTGTCTGTGGTAGTGTCGTAGACCCCGGCGATGGGGAAGCTGTCCTCGCCGAGCCCAAGACAGAAGCTGGGAGAGAAGAAACTGGTGCTCTGAGGGGCCGGAGAGGTGAGCGGGGACTTAGAGATGATGGCGCCAATGGAGAGGGAGGAGCAGGGCTTGGTCTCCCCGGCCACGAGCAGGGCGAACTCACAGATGGAGAGGTGGCCTTCCTTGTAGAGATGGTACTCCTCCTTGGAGATGCGCCGGCAGTGCAGGGCGGCCTCGATGGAGTACTGCTTCCCGCTCTTGCGGTCCAGCAGCACCGACTCCTCCCCGCGGGGGCCCGAGGTGGTGATCTCCTCCCAGTCACACTCCAGCTCCTGCAGCTGGAGGTACTGGCCACGGTCGATGATGCCTCTCTTGTAGGCCTCATACGGGGACATGTCTGTCCCCGTCTCAGGCTCCAAGATGGAGATCTTGGTGGAGAGGTTGGTCTCTCGTGTCTGGGTCTCCTGGTTGAGCTCCTCTCGGCTCACCTTGGTGTGCAGGTCCCGGAGGGTCCTCTCCTTCTCGTAGATCTGGTCCTTCTCCCGGAGGATGGCCGCCTCCAGCTGCGAGAGCTCCTGGCCCCGCTGGGCTGCCCTCTGCCGCTCGCTCTCTGTCTTCTGGCTGAGCAGCTTCGACTCCTCCTGCAGCTGCAGCACCTTCTGCTGCTTCTGCTTCTCCAGCTCCCGCAGCTCCTGCTGCAGCTGCCGGCACTCCTGGTTCGCCTGGTCCCGGGCCTTCTGGAGCTCGACCTCCTCCTGCGACCAGGTCCTCTTCAGCGCCTCTGCCCGGTCGATCCGCTCCCGCAGGCGCCTTGCCTCCTCCTCCCGGCTCTGCCGGGCTGTGCGCTCCCTGTTGAGCGTTTCCCACACCCGGGAACGCTCTCCCTCCAGCACCGGGTCCTTCTCCACCCTGATCACTTCCTTGTAAATGGTCTTCTCTTGCGATTTGGTTTTCTGGAGCACGTCGACCTGGACCTGCAGGTTCTTGCACTCCCGGTTCAACTCTGTCACCTGAGTCTTCTCCTGGTCCAGGTCCCGCCGCAGGGCTTCTGCGGACTTTTCCAGATCCGGGTCCTTCTCCAACTTGACCACCTCCTCCATGATGATCTTCTCCTGCACCGCAGGCGGCCGCTTCTCCAGCTCCTGGACCTTCAAGGTCAGCTGCCGCAGCTCCCTCTCCACAGCCAGCTTCTTGCTGCGGTCCTCCTGGAAGCTGAGCAGCCCCTCCTTCTCCTCCACGGCGGCCCGCAGCTGCTGCACCTCCCGCTCCAGCTGCCGCCGCCGGCCCACCTCCTCGTCCAGGCTCCGGCTCAGCCGGCTGTGGTCCTCGCGGAGCTTCGGGTCCTTCTGGGTGACCACCACCTCCTGCACCACCACCTTCTCCTCGGGCCGCCTCCTCTCCAGCAGCATGTACTTGTTCTGCAGCTCATAGACCACGTCCTCGGCTGCCCGCCGCTTTTGGGCCGCTTCCCGCACCTCCTGGCGCAGCCGCTGGGCCTCCTGCTCCAGCACCGGGTCCTTCTCGTGGCGCACCACCTCCTTGTTCACCGTCTTGGTCTCCACCTTGGACCGCTCCCGCCTCCACTCGTCGCGCTCCCCCTGCAGCCGGATGAGCTGCTCCTGGGCCCGCCCGCTGCTGTTGACCAGCTCGTTGAGCTGAGCCTTCAGGCGGTCAATCTCCCGCAGCACCTCCGGGCTCCTCTCATGCCTCACCACCTCCTGCGTCACCTGCTTGTACTCCACCGTGGGCTTCTGCGCCCGCAGGACCACCAGGTCGGGCAGCAGCTGCTCCACCTCCTTCTCCACGCTGCTCCTCTTGCTGGCCGTCTCCTGCAGCTTGGCCCTGAGCCGCGAAATCTCCCGCTCCGTCTCCGGATCCACCTGGAAGATCTCATTGACGCGCTCCTGGAGGTCCACTCTGGGCTTCTGCTTCTCCACCACGCAGTACTTGCCCTGCAGCTCCTTCAGCTCCCTGGCCAGTGCCTCGTTCTTACTCCTCTCCCCCTCCAGGAGGCTCCTCAGCCTGGACGCCTCTTTGAGGAGGCCTGGGTCCTGCTCCACCTTCTTCACTTCCTTCACGATCACCTTGGGCTCCACGGCGCTGATCGCCAGCTCTAGCTCCGTGATGCGAGCCTGCAGCTTGGCCATGGCCTCCTCCGCCGCCTTCCTCTGCGCCACGTCCTCCTGCACCTGCAGCCTCAGAGCCCGGGCCGCCTTGACCATTTCCAGGTCCTTCTCCACCTTGACCACTTCTTTCACCACGACCTTTTCCTTCACAGTCGCCTCCTTCCGCTCAAGGGCCAGCAGCTCTGTCTTTAGCTCCTCCAGCTGGGACGAGATGGCGGTGTTCTCTGCCCGCAGGTGCTGGATCTCACTGCTGAGCTGGGCCGCCTGGCTGTCCAGGCTGGGGTCCCTCTCCACCTGGGTGACCTCCTTGGTTAGCAGGTGAGGCTGTGTGGCCTTCCTCTTGTTCTCCAGCTGCATGACCTTCTGGGCTGCTGCCTCCAGGTCTGCCTGCAGGCTGGCCTGCTTCTTGCCCTCGTCTTCCACCTGAGACTTCACCCTGGACAGGTTGCTCTCCAGCTGGGGGTCCCGGTAAAACTCCACCACTTCTTTCTCCTCCAGTTTCTCTAAGGGCCGCTGAGTCCTCAGCTGCAGCAGCTGGTTCCTCTGCTCCTCCAGCTCATGCTGCACCTGGGCCACCCGCCTCCTCTCCTCCTCCAGCTGGGACTTCAGGGCCTCTGACTCCCTCCCGGCTTGAGAGGGGCTATCCGACCCCTGCTGTGCATCCTGGGTCACCTGGATGTCCTCACTGAGCTCCTTCTGCAGAGTAAGAGGAAGAGGGAAGAGTGCCAGGGCGAGCGGAGGGAAGGGAAGGGATAAGCCCATTCCCACCCCCCCTCCTGAGCTCAGACCCCTCCCTGCTTCCTGAGACTTCCCAGTAGGTCCCAGGAGGTGGAGCTAAAGACCTGGGAGGCTTGGAGGCAGGATTTTGAGAGGCTCTATCAATGCCCAGGATGTTAGGATGCAAGGCAGTGTTCAGGGTGAGTTTGCACTAGAATGTGCAAATAAGAAGTTCCTCCCTTCCAAACCTTTTCCCCTTCCCCTTCCATCTAGGCTCAGAAATGGGCCCATACTCCTCTGAGGGGTCCCGGAGTACTCCTCTGGGTAGGAGAAAACAATCAAGTCCCTCGGCCAGTCACCAAGAGTCATGGAGAGCTTCGGGCTCCTGGTCTCCCATGGATGGAGACCTAAGTGACCTCTTGCCCCAGGTCCTAAGGCTGAAGACTTTGTGAAGGCGTTTCTCCTGTCTGCATGTGGGGGAGTCACTGCCCAGTGGCTAAGCTGTGACTGCATTGAGTGATATCTCCTGGTGCTAACTCTGAGGTGGAAACCATCCTGGAAGAGCAGGTGGGAGAGCACTGGGGGAGGGGCCGCTGAGTCTGTCCCAGGCTGTGGGCTGCCGGGGGAGAGGGGAAGGAAGACTGCCAACTCAACGACTGGGCCAGGCTGCCTGGTGCAGGAACAGATGGGCATCACCTCCATACCTTCTCCAGAACCTTCCTGGCAAACTCCAGCTGCTGCAGTTGCTGCTGGTTCGCAGCTGTGACCTCAGTGTAGGTCTTCATCAGGCTCTTCTCCTGAAGCGGCCAGAGGGAGGGAGAGGAAGGGGGGGTCTCAGAGGCTGCAGAGCAGGCACCAACGGATGCAGAGACCCACCCAGTCCCGTCTCACCTGAGCCTGGATGCTCTCCTGCAGGGAACCCACTCGGGGTCTCTTGGGGGCCGACCCCACCTTGGTGGGCTCCAGGGAATAGCGGTAGGTGTCTGCTTGCAGCTCGTAGTCCTGAGTGGGGCAGGGAGTGGACAAGAGGCTGGTGGTCAGTGGGGGAAGCTGGCAGGGGAGGGTGGCGTGGGAGACTGGCAGAAGGAGTGAGGGCAGGTGAGTAAAGAGGGACAAGCTGAAGTAACTGCTCACCTGGAGGGCTGCCTGCAGGTGCTGGGAGAGGCGGGATGCCATGGCCCTGTCCTGCTCTCGGCCCTGGACCTCCTGCAGCAGCCTCTGCCGGGGAAGAAGTGAGTCAGGAAACACCACTCACTGGACTCCCCTCCAGCTGGGCACCTCCAGGGCCACAGGCAGCCAGCCCAGCCCACGGGCAGGACGGGCTACATGGAAAACAGCCTCTTCTTCCCCATGACCCTCTGTGGCCTCTGATGGGACATTTCACCCTCCCCCCCAATACCTGGCCATCCTATTTACTCCTCAGGCCTCAGCCTGGGTGTCAGTTCCTTCCAGACTGCTTGCCCTGACCCCTACACGTGTCCTCAGTGGGCTCCCACAGCGCTCTGGCTCTTCCACAAAAGTGCTCATCAGCATCGTGACCGGAGATGCACCGGCTGCCCTCTGGGACTGCGGGCTGCCTGAAGGCCGAGCTGTATCCCGGCCCCTAGTTCATTACTTACGTGTAGTAGGGGTCAGCAAGTATGAGGATGCAGGAAGAGCTGGAACCCCCAGAAGTATAAAAGCCGCTGCCCATCTCTGACCATACAAAGAAGCACTGGCCATTTCAGTGGGCAAAATGAAGCATTTTGTGTGGTGGGTGGTGGTGAGTGACCCAAGGCCTCTGTGGTCTGAGCTTTGAGGTCATTAAAACACTGGCCACTAGGGGGCCACATGCGCACAGGCAGCGCTCCCTGTTGGGATGATGGCCAGGGAGGTGGTCATGGCTTGAGGGCCTAGCTCTGGGTGCCGGCCCCCAGGTCACCTGCAGCCCCAGCCCCTCACCTTCTGCGCCTGCAGCTTGTAGGTGATCTGGCTCGGCCCGTCGCTGGGCCGCACCTGGTTGTGGGGCAGGTGCTCCAGCCAGGAGTTCAGGTTGTCCCTGCTGTTCTTGAACTGCTGGTAGGTGAGGCTGGCGTCCTGCACCATCTTCTCCCTGCAGGAGGGTGAAGCCCAGAGAAGAGGTGAGAGCTGCCTTCAGAGGACAGGTGAGGGGTGCACGGAAGAGGCTGGTGGGTGCCTCCTTCCCTGGGACAGGTCAGGAGGCCCAAATGACCCTCCCTCCCATGCTGATCTTCTAACTCTGGCCCTATTCTGTACTGGGCATTCAGAGATGGACCAGACAGCCTCTGCCAGGTACCACATGGGAGGTCAGTGCAGTTATTACCCCCTTTTAGAGGTGAGAAAACAGCCTCAGAGAGGTGAGGTCACTAGTCCAAGGTCACTATTCCAAGGTCACACAGCTTATCAGCAGTGGCTGCTGGGCACTGTGGAAGCATGCCATGAGCCCCAGTGACCCAGCCACTCACCGCAGGTCCAGCTGGTCCCCAACAGCATGGTAGCGGTCGGTGAGGGCCCGCACCTGGCGCTGCTGGTACGGCAGGTCAGGGCAGAACTCATGGAAATTGTTCTGCAACGCGCCGCACATGTGCTCGGTGGCCTTCAGCTCGCGGTGCAGCCCCAGCACGCAGGCCTGCTGCTCCAGCAGCCCCCTCCGCTGGTGCTGGGGGAGAGGGGCCACAGCACGATGTACCCGTGAGGTTTGGTGAGAGGCCATGTGCACCCTCCACCTGCCCCCCAGTGCTTGGTCAGGCTGTGCCCCGCTCCTGCCAGGAGGCCACCCAGCCCCTTACCTGCAGCTCGCTGACCCTCTCCTGCAGCGCACCCGGCCCAGCAGGGAGGGGGGCCTCCTGTGCCAGGGCGGACTCGAAGCCTCGGATGACTCTGTCCGCATCCCGGATCTGCCGCTCCAGACCCAGGGCAGCCTGAGCTCTGCCACAGTGGAGGCTGAGGGTCAGACACCTCCTTGGCCACACCGTGCTGCCCTGCCCAACAGCCCCCAGCCCCAGAGTACTCACTTCTCCCTGTACTGGCTGCAGAGAACCTTCACGTCACTGTACTTGTTCTTGACGTTGTTGAGGGCCACGGGCAGGTGCAGGGCGGTAAGGCCCACGGGCCGCGCTGACAGAAAAGCCTCACACTCCTGCTGGGCCGCCTCCTTCTCTGCTCCCAGTTTCTGCAGCCGCTGGGCGGTGCCCTGGGGTGGGGGTGGGATGCTGAGGACCTCCTCTCTGGGCAGGTGGGTACCACCCATCCCTCTCTCCAGCCATGTCAGCCTAACTCTGCCCATGAGGCCTGAGAGTGTGGTGGGGACATTCTTGGGCTCAGTCCCTGTGTGGATGACCTTGGATAGGTCAACCTCTCTGATCCTCAGTCTCCTCATTGACAGAGTGCTCGATGGGAGGATGAAATGAGACCCTGTGTGTAAGGAGCTCTTGCCCAGGTCAGTACTCATGTCACCATCCTGTTCATGACACTTTTAGTTCTCTGCCCTGTTGCTCCAAGCAGCAAAACCCTAGCTCCATCCACTAGGGGTTATTTCATTCTTTTTTTTTTAATCAATTATTCACTCATCTATCCCATAAGCCACTGGTGCCAACTCTGAGCCACGCATTGCCTACCTTCCAGTCTAATTGGACTTCCAACGCCCCTGATACAGTAGACGCTGTGACTTCAAAATTCCAGGACCAATTTGGAAACTGCCTGGGCCCAAGAGAGCTGCCAGGTCCCAGGGCAGTTGTAACCAGTGCCCAGCGTGGGCAGAGGGACTTGTAGAGACTACACAGCGCCTCCTTCTGCCTTCTCCTCCTGCTTCCTCCTCCAACACCTCAAAGTCCCCTTGGCCCGAGGACCCAACACCTGCAATCTGTAACACCTTTCCCGCTTCTGGAGCCCTCCCTCCCGGCCAGCCCTCTGACCGAGCTGAAACGCTGCCTCCCAGTAACTCCGGTGTATTGTGGACTGAGAATAACAAGTTGCACAATAATGTGAACAATGTGATTCAAATTTTTAAAAACCAAATCCAAACAGTGCATTTGAATAGAAACTGGCTTGAAAGGATATAACCCAAACTGCTGCCCCCCCAGGTGTAGGGAAGGGGCGGCTCTCACTGTTAGCCCTTCTGAATCCTTTTGTGATTGTGTTTACACTTCTGCAACCCCTCACCTTGTGGCTTTGGATGCGTCCCTCCAGGTCCTCCAGGGGGCTGGTGCGGCTCAGTGGGGTTCGGGCCCAGGCCAGCACCTGCCTCTCTATCTGCCCCAGGTCCTCCCCAAGCCGGGTCATCTGCGTCAGGAGCTTCTGGGCCTGTGGGTCAGCTGGGGCTAAGCCGGTCGGAGCTGGGGGAATAGGATGCCTGTGAGGGTCCAGGGCCTACATCATGTCTGCCTGTCTGCCCGTCTGCTTCACGGCCTCCTCCCTGAGTGCCTGCAGAAGTGCCTGTGTTGCGTAGGGTGGGATGGGGGAGGGATGGCCTAACTGAGGGAGGGACAGCCCCAGGGGCTCACCAGCCCAGGAGCAGAAGTCCTTAATTCAGGGTCACCCTCTGCCCCCTGCAGTTCCCACAGCGACCAAAGCGGGGTGCTACTCCCTCTCCGCCAACAACGCCTCCGCCCATGCTCGGGCCAGCCCTCGGTACCCTGCTGGCTGGGCCGCGAGGGCTCCACAGAACTGGCCTTCAGGCGGCTCTGGACTGTGGTCAGTTTCTGCTTCAGGGTTTGCAGCTCCGAGTCCAGCCTGGAAGGAGGAGGAGATCAGAGGAGGAAGTCTCTCCACTCTCTTCCCCAGCCATCACTGGTCCAGGTGAAGGCTGGGCAATGGCCTCAAACCACAGGGCCTGGGCTGGGCCCACACCTGCCTCCTGCCCCTGAGGATCCCCAGGCAGACGCACCTGGAGGCCCTGGCCATGGCCTCAGGGTCTGGGGCCGGGACGCACAAGCAGGCGGCTGGGACACGTTTGGTCTCGCCTGCCAGGCCCTGGACTACCCAGGTGTGCGGGTCAGTGTTGTCCATCAGTGTATACCGCTCACCCCGCAGCAGCTGCACCTGGGGAGGGGGGCAGGTGGGGAGGGACTTACGTAGGCTCAAGGGCCAGGCTGGAGAAGGGATCAAGGCCAAGTTGGGGTAGAAGCTGGGGACAGGGACAGTGGGGACAGGAGCTGAGACAGGGGCAGGAGTAGGGGTGGGTGGTGCTGCGGCAGGGACAGGGAGAGGCCAGGGCAGAGCTTGGAGAGGAGTGGGGCTAGGGCAGGGGTGGAGCAGGGGTGGGGTGGCGTGGTGGCAGGAATGGTAGGAGTGGGGCAGGGGTGGGACTGGAGGCAGCAAGGGTGGGGTGGGCCGGGCCGGGGGAGCTGGGCGGGCCAAGGCTGTACTTCTCCTGAGTCCCAGTCACAGATGCTGTCCACGTGCAGGGGCTGCTGGGGGCAGTTCCTGCGCTGCGGCAGAGGGGCCACCTCCCGGCTCTGCAGCTGCAGGTCCCCAACGGTCTTCTCGGCCTTGGCCAGCTGCTTCTCCTCTGCCTGCAGGGTCCCAGGCAGTGGGGGCTCAGGCCCGTCCCATACATGCCCCCCAAGAGGGTGAGGGGTCTGGCCTTCATGAAGACAGGGTCTCTCAGTGAGCAAAGTAATAGGAGCCCCTCCCTGGGGACCCAAGGTCTGGGTGTGCTGGTTGAGATGGGGTAGGGGGCTGCCCAGCATTACCCAGATCTCCAGAGAGGGAGCTGGAGGGGCCTCAGACCTCTCCAAGGCAGCCCCTGCGACATTACCGCAGAGGAAGCTGGGGTCCAGAGTTGGAAGGGCTGCTTGGTAACAGACCAGGCTCCCCCTGCTGGAACAGACCCCCTTCTCCTACCCCCAAGGCTGGAGCTCCGGGCAGGAATAAGTACCCAGGAGGCGAGAGGCCCAGACACACAGGCAGGCCCTGTCTGCAGGAGTAGGTTCAGGTGTCCAGGTGGGGCCGTCTCACCTCCAGCTGTCGCAGCAGCTCTGTGGGGGTACCAGGGGCGCCCCCAGGGCCGGGGCTGTACTGGGTGTCCAGGCTGGAGTGGAGCTTTGCCAGGGTCTGGCTGACAGAGTCGGCCTCCTCCTGGAACTGAGGTTGGCGGGCGGTCAAGGGCAGATCTGGGGCACCCGCTGCCCGCAACCCTGCAAACCAGCTCGTGTAAACCGGCTAAACCCAAGCAGCCACTTGCCATACACTGTCAGCCCTTCTACTCAGGCAGAGGGGCCTTTTTAACTGGAGTGCTCTGCAAATGGGACATTTGGGGTCACTGAACTTAATTTCTATTAGTGTCATAAAACACTTTGGTTTGGGGCCTTCCCCACAGATAAAGGGCAGTGCCTCTCCTGCCTCATCCAGCACCTGGGGTCGTCCTGGCTGCGGCCCCAGGGTGGGTGGCCGGGTGTCTCAGAGTAGAAGCTGGGAAAGTGCTTTAAAGAAACCTTGCACAGTTGGGTGAAGGGAAATTCTCGTCAACAGGCCGGATAATGGTGTTGTGAGGTGTATAGGAAAATACCTTTTAAAAAAAGACGAAGGAAGGAAAAAAACTCCTTCATTTTCTCAAATTCTCGGAGTACATTAAACATTTTGGTTGGCAATTACTAAAACAACAACTCCCTATTGTATATTGTGTCAGTGTTTCTCAATCCTTGTTTCATTATTGTCCCTTCCGAGGAGTTTTTTAGATTTTTTTTCTTTATTTTCCCCATTATCACCGTGAAATTTTAATACCACAGATAAGCTATAGATCCTTTACATGTGTATATCTGTAATTTATGCATAAAAGGTATATTTTTCCCCCATAAGAACCAACTCTCATCCTGCTGAGAAAGTATGTGTGACATTTTCCTTCTGAGACCTAGTCATGACACAGCTCTGTCATATTGTTGTTGTATGTTTTTTTTGGTGAGGGGAGGTAATTAGGTTTATTTATCTTAATGGAGGGACTGGGGATTGAACCCAGGACCTCATGCATGCTAAGCACGTGCTCTGCCACTGAGCTGTACTCTCCCCTCCACAGCTCTGTCATTTTTATGAGGTGCCCTGAATCCGAGATGCTCACCCGGCGGTAATCCTCCACGTGCTGCAGGTGGCTCTCTTGGCAGATGCACAGGTTCAGGAAGTTCTGCCACTCCATCTTCAGGGCCTCCTGGTGGGCCTGGGGGCAGGAGCATGAGGCCCTTGGACCATGCCCTGCCCTGGTCTGTCCACCCACTCACTCACTTGGAGGGCCCTGCCCACTGTCCTCAGCCTGGGCCACGTCTCCCTCTCCCCAGCCTCCCTGGGAAGCGCCTCAAGTGAGGAAGCGGGGATCCCTAGTGCCTGGGCCTCTGCACCTGGATGGGCCCCACAGCCGGATGCCCGAGCTCCACCATGCGCTCCCCGTCATCCTCCAGCTGGTTCACGCACTGCTCCTGGCCCAGCAGCTCGTGCTGCTTGAAGTGCTGGGAGAGAGTCGGGGAGCTGGCAGTGAGGATGAGGATGTCCTTGTCCCCCCCCAGCCCCACTCTCCCCCACTGACCTCGTACTCCCTCCGCATGCCCGCAGGGTCTGCCGTGAGGTCACTCCAGTCCTGCTGTAGGATGTGCTGCTGCTGCTGGGCCAGGGCGCTCAGCTGGCGTGTGCAGCCCTGCAGGTGTGTGTACAGGCTGCCCAGGCTCTGCCCTCGCCACGAGGCCGCCTTCTGTTCTCCAGTGAGAGGCAGGGAGCGAGAAGGGGTAGCGAGCGGTTAGAAACGCTGGCCCCAGCGAGGCAGCAGGCAGCCAGCACCTGCCCCACTCCCAGACCTCCCAGTCGGCTTGGCCCTTCCTCTGCTCACCAGTAGGTCCCGGTATTGGCTCCGAATGGTGGCCGCATCCTGTCTCGACCAAGGGAGAGAGAATGCAGGCTCAGTGAGAGGTGGGGTGCAGGGGAGAACGCACCTCATGCCCTGGGCCATCTGTGCCCCATTCCTCCATCCCTAGCCCCAGAGGGCCAGCCAGGCCTAGCTCGGGCTCTGATGGGAGAAGGGGGCTGCGGCGGAGCAGGGGTGTGTGCCTGGACAGCTCACCCACCGGCCCTATGAGGCTCCGCAGCTGCTGCCCATAGGCCTCGATCTCCTTCTGCAGGATGTTATGCTCGGCGATCTGCTGCTCCAGCTCCGCCATGCCCGGCCCATACTGGCCCTCGCAGACCTGCTTCTGCAGAAGAACTGGCGACTCAGCTCTGCTGCAGGGCCTGGGGTGGGAGCCCTCCCGCACCCACCAGCACCCTCCCCGCATCCTCATCGGCAGGGGTGGAGCTGGTCATCTGGGTAGTGGGTGGACAGGCCAGGTGGGCGCCTGGGTGAGTGGCTGGCGGCTCCCCCAGGGGAACATGCTGTTCTCCAGTGGTCCTGGCCGAGGCCTCAGCATTGCATGACTGCAGGCCCTGAATCCCACTGGTCCCCGGGACTCAGGGCTCAGCCTCTGAAAAGTCTCCCCACTGTGCTCTGCCCCCTCCCGGGCCCTGGCTCCTGCCTGGACACCTCCAGTCTGGCTCCAGGAGCCTAAGCATCCCCTGCCCTGCCTTCCCCCATCCCTTCATTGTCATCCCGGCACCCCTTCTGTTGTGACATCAAAGCACAACTCCTCACCTAATGTTTAGGGTACCCGTGATCTGGTTCTGCCTACCTGCCCAGAAAACCCCACTTCCCGTCACACCCCAGGCTTCCTCCAGGCAGGAGGCTCTGTTCCTTTTTTTGGAATATCCTCTCCTCACCACTTCATCCCGACCCTGCAGAGCCTGCCCGCCTGCAGGAAGCCTTCCCTGACTGCACCGTTCTCTCCCTTCCCAGACCCCTAGCCGTCCCCCGTCCCTGACAACATGAAGCTCTGTATTGTTCTCTGATTGCTGCCGGGTGTGCCTCTGAGCTCCCGGAAGTGTCTCCGACACTGGGGATGGCCGCTGACCTGCTTCTGCTCCAGCACCCGCGCCCAGTCGACCCTGGGCCCTACGTCGGGCGGCAGCACCATCTTCTCGTACAGGGCGCGGTACTCGGCGCACTCCTGGGTCACCCGCTCATGCAGCTGCTTGATGCTGCCAAGGAGGTGGCCAGTAGGTTGGAGCCGGGCCTGGGGCTCCACCCGGACCCCCAGCGCCTCCAACCTTGAGCCCCAGCCCCTGCCACCACCCTGCTCACTCCTTCTCGATCTCCTCAGCCTGTGGGTGCTTGAGCCTCTGGGCCTTGTCCACGTCCAGGAAGAGGTCCTTCAGCAGCCCCTCGGCCTCCTTCAGGCTGCGGCCTACCTCCTGCCGGTGCTGCAGGGCCTGGTTCTGCTCGCTGTGCTGCCGGTCCTGCGGCGTGGGACAGCATCCTCACTGCCCATCACTGCTGCCTGAGCCCCACCCCGAGGGACCCTGGCCAACCTTGGTGCCTGCACCGGCAGGTGGCTGGGCTCACGTACCCTTGGGGCAGACTCAAAGACACAGGGAGGCCCGGGCCCCCTCAAGCCTCCTTGACCCTCCAGGCTAGAAGCCCAACAGAGGAGTGGTAAGCCCTCTCTCCCACTATTTAGGGAGTGGCCAGTGTTCTGTGGCCACTCCCTAAACAGTGGCCAGTGTTCACAAGGCTGTCTGTTCATCTTTAGTGTGATGAGTGGACACGCCAAGGACCACCAGGCGTGACAGTGGGCCTCCTACGCCCCCACGTCCTGCCATCTGTCCCCCAGGCCTCACCTGCTGCAGCTTCTTCTGGGTCTCCAGGATGTCCCTCTCCACCTGGTCGGCGTTGGCCTGCATGCGGGAGATGAGCAGGGCCAGCTCCTGGGTGGCAGCCCTGGTGGGTCGGTGCGGGCAGAGGGCAGCATGGTTGGAAAGGTTCCCTCTGTTCTCCTTGGGCAGAGGACTGCCCACCTGGGTGGGGTCCCCTGCGTCTCCCTGCCCCATCCTGCCCAAGAGCCAGGCTCACTGCCCCGGAGGGAGGAGTCCAAGACCTGGAGAGCACTGGTCTCTCTGTAGGAGGCTCCATGAGACACCCAGTCTTGGGCTGGGGAGCGTGGCTTCCACACAAGGGTTCAGAAAAATGAGGGTCCTGGGTGTGTGCAGCACTGCAGAGTGGGCCAAACTCCCTGCCCTGAAAGTGTGTTCCCAGCTCCATCCGGCTCCCTGCTGCTTCTTTGGGCTGGACGACAGTCGGCCCAGGAGTGAGTCACTGGCTTAGCTCCTAATACCTGAGACCGCATGTCTGGGACTTGGGGAGGGGCAGTTGGGCTGGCTGGGGGCAGGGGAGCAGCAGCATGTCCCCCCAGCCCAACTTCCTCCCACCCCAGTCCTGTCTCCCCCTGCTGCCTTGTGCCTAAGCTAACAAGCTTTCAGAGGAGCCACAGCACCAGGGCAGGGGGAGGCCAAGAGATTGCCAGGGCACCCTAACATTTTCCAGATTCGGGGGGTTCAGAGCCCAAATTGGGACCTGACTTGCTCCAGCCACACAGCCAGGAGCTGAATATGAACCTGAATCAAGTCCCCAGGTTCATACCCAGGCTTTTTTCCCAGACACTCAGCAGCCTCTGCAGGGCACCTGTTCTGTGCTTGAGTTCACTCTCTGGAGCCTGGAGGGTCAAGCAGACTTAATAAAAAGCAGAGTGGTCTAAGGCTCAGAGTGGTCTAAGGTCACAGTCCTGGGGAAGAAGGGAAGCCTTTACCAAGCTGAGCCTTGAAAAGGGGTCAAAGGATAAGCCCCGCCCACCCGCCCCCTCCCCAGGCAGAGGGACGGTGCCACAAAGACAGCCTGAAGGCACTCTGGCCAGACAGCCTGGTTTTAATCCTTCTCCATCACTACGGCTGTGTGGTCTTGGGCAAGTTGCTTAACCTCTCTGTGCTTGAGGTTCCTCACCTGTAAAGTAAGGCTCTAACAATATCTATCTCACTGTGTCATTATGAGTGTTAAGAGAACTAATTTATCTGAAGTGTCCAGTACTGAGCCTGTGCAGAGTCAGCACCTGGTAAGTGTTAGTTTTTAATTCCACTAGAATGTAAGTACCGTGAAGGTAGGGACCTGTCGGTTCTGTTTTCAGGGGCATTCCCGGGGCCTGGTACAGAGGTGGCACACAGTGGGTGCTCGATAAGTACGTGTTGAACAATGGTGAGCCGTCTTTGGGGGCCTGCAGCCAGGGCACAGGGCCGTGGGGACCAAGCTGCTGGGATCCTACCTGAGGGTGGGAATTTTGGGTCCTGAGCCCTGGGAGGGCTGTTCCTGCCCGGAGGAGCACACTCCACCCTGGGCAGGGCCCAGGAGCCCCAGGGAGGACAGGTCACTCCAGTGAGAGTCTTAACTGCTGTCTTTCCTGTCTGCCTAGAAGCCGAGCCTCACTGTCCTCGAACTGATCCCTATCGGGGTAATGGGCCTTCCATCTCTGCTCTCAGCACCACACCCAGGACCCCAGGAGAGCTGCCACCTCCATCCTGCAGAGGGGACTGATGGCCAGTGAGCAAAAGAATACTGGCCAAGTCTTTTCATAGACTGTGGGGCTCTGGAGAGCTGGGCTGGGCCCTGCAGAGAGCTGGGTGAACTGAGGGAGGCTCTGAGGATGCCCCGGGCCCACAGGCCCCTCCTGGTTCCCCACAGCATCCCCTCCCCAAACCCATACGATGAAGGAATCACCCCAACTCTAACAAAACTCTCAAGCCGCGAGGTACGAGCCGTGTGGGGAAGGCTGCACGGCCCTGTCTCCCTGCAGCTGGGCACCCCACCCCCACCTCTCCGCTCCTCCAGCCTCAGTCCCTCTGCCCACCCTGTGACCAGGTCCCAAGGGTCATCCCAGTCCCAGCGGAGTCTTGAGGGCAGGAGTCTAGGACACGGAGCCAGGCCCTCCCAGCGGAGAAAGGCAGCTTCTCAGGCCCCTGTCCAGCGCCTCTGCAGAGCAGCCCCAACCCGTGGCCCTCAGGCCCCCTGGAGAATGTGGAGAGCTCCAGGCCAGCCCTGGCCTCTTGCCAGGCCTCAGAGTGGCGTGGGCCAGGAAGAGAGTCCACCCGCAGGCTCTTTGGCCTTGGGACACCAAATGCCAGCAC